ACGGGCGGCAAGCGGGCGGCTCACCGCCCGCCCGGATGGAAACCCTACTGGAATAATCCCGCCAAGGATAAAAAAATCGGAAAATTTGAAAAGAGGTGTATGGATCATGAAAACATGCGAATTTTCTTCAGAAATTTTTTTTCCAAAAACTTGGTTAATTTGTATTTGACAAGATGCCAAAGGTGTTTAGAGTATGGAAAACTGCTGAAAACAGCTTTTGAGCTCAAAAACAGGTCATATAAAAAACCAACAAAAAATAAAAAAAGAGTTTCGACTATGAAGGAGTCGAACCATAGAGTACCATTTCTCCATCCCGCCGCTTTACCACTGAACCATCCCACTGCTGTTTTCAATGGTTCTTCAAAGCGTATAAAAGAAATGAGGACGTGGAAGCGTTCACGTATGCATTTCAATGCAAAATCTACTGAAAACTTCTGACCTAAATTTCTCGAGTTAGCGGAGGCCGCCGCAAAAACTGAGCATACATTTGAAAATGAAATTTCATCCTCTTTCGAATGATATAGGTCTCGTCCCATAACTCCACATCTTATGTGAGTCATTCCCTAGTGAGTGAATGATATCCTCATACTGTTCTATAATTGAAATGCTACTCAATACATAACCATATAACGGTAAAATTGTTTCAAAAACCCAACCAATTCCAGGTTTCTTCCGACAAGTTCTATCGAAAAACCAAGTGACTTCTGTACAAGTTTATGAGCCAAATCAGGATAGTTTGTCGCCATGATGAATTACAGTATTCTATGTTTCGAAGTTGCTCCTTTTCTGTTGTTTTTCGGAATTTTATGATCAGTCTCACTGTTTTGATACATTATCCTTTCTTGCAGAAATTTTTTCATGCAACAACCCACCTTTTGTCGATTAGCACAGCTAACGCTGGACGTTCAGCTAAACACTATATGAAACAGTAATGTACAACAATTCAATAAATGGTTCAGGATATAATTTTTTTTGATTGTTTGAAAGGCTGTCTATGAAACCACCTATAATGTTCTTACTGTATTACTACTGTATTTGGATCCACTCTTCATAAATGAAATTTTTCAGCCGGTTGTGACTACTCATCCACCAAAAAGTCCCAACTCGCCGCCCATCTTCGAACCCACATGGCGGTCCGTGCTCATCTCTGTAAAATCTGTGGTCGTGGATTTTGAGTACGGTATATCAAAGAAATTTCCATTACCGACAAAATTTTCTTTGTTGATCAAGCTGAATTATTTTCAGGCCATCGACAAGGGTTACAGAAGTGTCACCATTCATTCGGACTCTCAGTTCGTCCAGGATGCGATCACCGGATCTGGAAACTTCCAGAGGTAAGAATCTAGAAAACTTGACCAAGCCATGGTACGTGTTTGCAGAAACTATTGTAGAATTTTTAAAAAATTTTCTTACTGTAGTTTCTGATAATCCCATTACACCCTTTTTACGATTTATATTTTTTTCAAGACATTCCCGAGACTTGACCATAAGCCTTGTCCTATTTTTAGGAACTACGGTGGAACATTTCAAATTTTACTACTGTAGTTGCTGAAAATCCAATCAGATAAATAGAGCATCCCCGAAGACTCTTTTTCGAAAGATTAATTTTTAAGCGGTCAAGGCCATGTCCTACGTTCGAAGGTGTGACATCTACGGGGTTCCATGATTCTACTGGGTTCCATGATTCTACTCGTAATGTCGTTTACGTCGCGTCTTTGTGATCTAACACCTCGGTGGTCTAGCATGAAAGATCGAAATCTCTCGTTGGTGCAAGGATCCGGGCGGGAAAAGCGTCCTCGTCGGTTCACTTTTGATTGCAGCAAGAAGTTAAGTTCTTCTTCGGTGTTGCTTATCATAAAAATAAACCTTACGGTTTGAACAATCCATATTGTTCGGAGGTGAGCTGCAAGCTCGGGTGCAACTGATATCTGACGTGCTACGATCGCTGTCTTATAGCTTTTTGTCCTCGTTCAGATGCGTCAAATGTGATCGTCCTCACCAAGTCCCGACCACGTCGTTCGGATGACTTGGACCTGCTAATCCTGTGTCCACCAGATTCCCAAGTCTCAAGTATGCCAATGACTTTGTTGACTATATCAGGAGCTGCTAATCATGTCTGGTACTGCATGCCGCTTGCGATACAGTAGTGAACATTGCAACAGCGAATAATAGGAGTATAGAGGTACCAATGTAGAATCCTGCCACGCGGGACTTTGAGCGACCGGGGTTTTCAACCCACGATGCACCATGTTTTAGAAGCTACATTGGTTTATTGAACGATATAGAATGATACAATAGAGGGGCTTTTATACTGGTTACATGATAAAGAATTTAATAAAAGAAAGTGATTGCGGGTGATGCAATGCACATTCCCCGGCGAATCACCACCAGAAGAGTGCAATTTAGCACAGTTAACCATTCAGTGTTTTGCTATGGACAGAAACCTGAGTGAATCTATTCTTGTTGCGAAGGTCTAATGATAAAAGAATCTTTCCAGACGTCATATCAATTTACATGAAATTCGAGAAACTTTGGAATACTCCCAATTTTCCAAATCCAGATTTATATTAATATATGCTCAATTTGTCTTCAAATGGGATATGTTTCAAAAAAATCAGATAAAATCTTCCCCAAAGTACACAGATACTAATAAAATAAGTCTTACAAAGAGAATGCCGTCTTACCATAACGACACCATATAATAAAAATAAACAGTTTACAACCTCCGGTTCATAAATCGAATGATGAGCAATAAAGAAGACAGAAACCACAATTTGAGTCTGAATTTAGCGTTTTGAATAGATGTTAAAGGTAGCAAAGCATTTTTCAATGAATGAGTCAGGGAATTTTCTCAAGTTTTGTATTTTTTAAGTTCAACTGAAGCAAAAAAAACGATTTTTATTTTTTAAAATTTTATTAACAGAAATTATTATTCACAGAAAAAGTTAGTTAGCAAAACCAGTAAGAATTTGAATGAGATCGCAGAGTATTTCACATGAGAAATTAGAATTTGTAATCATTGTTGAAATCGAATTAAGTTTCAGATTTTCTTTTTTTTCTCATTTCAGGTTTTCAAATTTCGGAGTTTCTAAATTTTCGAATTCTCAAATCTAAATTTCTGATTTTCCAAAGTTCAAAAACTTTTCCACTAGAATGTTTTTCGAAAAGTTGAATTTATGTTCCAATTTTTCAGGTTCTCAAATTCTATATTTTCTAAACTTTTTCGAAATTCTATACATTTTGTGGTCAGGGCCGTCTCAGGCCAGCCCGGCGTTTAGTAAGTATGCGAATTTAGAAATTTTCCAATTCTTTAAAATCTGATATACCGAATTTCGATATTTGAGACAAACAGATTCAAACAGTTTTCTAGATTTCAAAATTAATGTTTTCCTACGTCTGATTGTTGAAAATTTACTAACCTCTGAACTTCCAAGTGTCTTACTTTTCCTATTTCCGGATATCCTTACTTCTGACTTTCCAAATTCTGGAAATTCTGAATAACCGAAATATCGAAATTCGAAATTTGCTTATAGTCCATGAAAAAATAGACCCTATGAAAAAGACAAAAGCTGTCTAGAAGATAACTGGTACTGTTAGCGAGAGCCGGGAGGTTCAGCCCGGATGGGCGTAAGCCGACTGTTTTTCAAAATTCGAATATTTCGAATTTCAGAATTTTCGGAGACCAGAAATTTCAGTAAACCTAACATTTAGTTCCAAAATGTGAAGCTTCAGAAAAAAAAGGAGTTCACATATTGTTGGATTAAAAGAAGTGACACCTGAAAATCTCGGAAACGGCGCTCGTGTCGATTTACAAGGGGGCGGAGCGAAAACGGATACTGTAGATAACAAATTTATTATGTGAATTTAGTGGGGTTTTCTGAACAAAATTTCGATTTCTTGGTATAAAAACTATCGCCAGCATTTCAAGAATCTATTTTTCAGCAAAAAACTAAACTTAAACGCGAAAGTTGCTCAAACGATTCTGAAATATTACGTTTTTGCCGCACTTTTTCGTAGATCAAAAAAAGCAAAATTTTTCAAATTCTCAGGTGTCACTTTTTTTAATTCGAGAATACTCCGGATTTCAGAACATAAAAATATTTTTTCAGTATTGGAAATTTACAAAATTTGGGAAATCAATTCCGCGAAGAAAATTGATGGTATGCAAAACTTTCACAAATTTTGGTGAATTCGGAAACTCAAAAATTTTGAAATTAGAAATTCAATGGTAAGGTACAGTAAGCGGAAGCCAGGAGGTTGAGCCCCCGACAGGGGGCGTAAACCGACTGGTATACTTTTAATGACTATATCTGATTAGCCAGTTGAAAACGATCTGTACTATTTCTCACAATTCTGTGAATGGGATTCTTAATATTGCTGTCGATGTTCATCTCTACTATATTTCTTACTGTAACTCATCTATTCTCATTTTCCCATAATGCTGTAAACGAGTCAATGTTTCTTTCAGAAAAGGCAGGTGTCCAAAATGTTATTAATTGATACATACAGTCACGGATGTCATTAAAGGATGTAACGGATAGACCTCTATGGTCTTCTGGGAAAGAACATTGACAGAGTGTCGGAGGCATACATAACTAACAGAGCACATTACGTCATGGATGTCATTTAATTTGTGTGGTCCCCTAGGGAAAAAATACTGATATGTAGTGTCTGAACCTCAGAAGGGATGCTATACCTAACAGACGTCTCATAACATACATAGTTTGTCGTAATTTCGGTTCATGACCAACAACCTTACTTTCTTATACCGTTCTTTATCTATATTTCTCACTATAGTATTTTCGAAATATTTCCCGTTTCACTGACATATTTTTGACTTAACTTCAAACTTGCAATTATTATTGAAACTTTATTCGCTTCTAAAGATCCTTCAAGGCCTGCTTATGAGTTACCAGTGATATGCCAATTTCGTTCAAAATGTCTTTATTGAATCCAAGAAATCCCACTTTAACTTAAAAGTCTCATATTTCCTTACCGTAAAACCTCTAATAGAACGACACCCGGATCGTCCACTTTGAGCCTATATATCTCACTTCTTTTGAAAGGTATCAAAAAGTGGTTAACTAGTAAAATGTTTATCAGGATATCAGCAACATTTTACTAGTTAGCCACTTTTTGATATCTTTTGCAGAAAATGAGATATATAGGCTCAAAGTGGACGATTCGGGTGTCGTTCTATTAGAGGTTTTACGGTATACTATTTTTCATCTCCATTTACCACAAACATATTTTAAACTTAACTTGAATTTTGCGAATTGATCGTATGTCGCAAAAAATTGCATTAAATCAAAGCTATCCCCTTTATCTTAAGCATCTAGTTTTGGTATAACCAGATTCACTAAATTTCTCTCTTTCCTTTTCAAAACAACTTTAGACCTACTGATGGTAGAGCAACATTTGTAGGTCAAAAACGCATTTTTCCGCATTTTCAAAAACGCTTTCATCGCCAGATTGACAATATTTTTCCTCCCGTTTCAGTTGGATCTATCGTTTTTGTCTATTTTTTCTATAGTTATCTTTTCATGACCCATTTTGAGAACATCATCATTCTCATTATCATCATGTCATGGTTTATTTTCCTCTACCGTACCCGTTTCTCTACCGTACTCTTTCCCAGGAGACACTCTCTGTTTCCCGTACTATCTCGCTCTCTTCACCTTATTGATGTTTGGTGCGTTTTATGGTCACGCCCTCTTTGACTCCGCCCCCATAGGTAACCATATCCGACTCAGGAAATATTTGTCATTCATTAGATCTGTCTTCTTCCGGTTTGGTTGTCCGCTACCTTCTGGAATACTAATCGATATTCGTTGTATCCCTTGCGTCGAGGTCTCTTGTCCTTATATCAATCAACTTTAAAGATGCACTACTCCTACCAAATGCAACATCCTTCCAATGCCGTCTATGATCCAACTCTAAGAGTTTATAATACTCATCCAGTCTACGGATATCAACAGATGATGCCAGTTTATCAACCGATTCAACGGAAAGAAATCCAAGTTCACTTAAAGAATCAAGATCAATGGAAGTACCTGCACGAATCTGACGGAGGAAACGAGATGCTTTTGAATATTAATGGAAAGTGAGTTTATTTCGAAACTTCTAGAAATTCATAGTGATAATTCTTGATAAATACAGTAACCTTCTTTTTTCCAGACCCCTGTTTCCGAAAATCCAATGCTACGTACAAAACCTCGATGCATTCAAAAACTACGATGTCGGTATCAAAATGGTCCGTAGCAATCCGAAACAATTCGTTCACGACCGGTATGCAGGAAAATGGATTCCCGATGAGGATTCTGATGTTGTCCCGGATAAGGAATCTAATGAAGTATTCATCCGCGGTTCTGGAGCAAATCTCATGAGGTCTGGCATCGATTTTGGGCACGTCAAGATATACAACGACAAAGTTCTGAAGGCGAACGAGGTCCCGTCCGTTCCTAAGAATCTCAAAAAGGCGATTTCCGTAAGTTCAAAATTCATTTATTGTCCAATTAATGCAATTTAAATTAATTAATTAAATTTCAGTGCAAAGTCAATCTAAGATGTCTCTACGTTCCGGTGATGACAATCTACGAAGATGACCGTAAAACCGTAGTCCGCCAATTCCAGTTCGAAGAGACCCAGTTTTTGGCGGTATCGGAGTATAAGGTAATTAGGCAACTAATTAAGAACGGCTCATTAATTAATTTGTTTCAGAACAAGGTTGTCAAACAATTCAAGATCCAGAATATCAAGTTTGTACCTGGTATCTACCGGAAAGCACCAGGTTCTGAGCAAGAGGAAACATCGGAAGAAGCTCCAACTAAAAGAAGCCGAAAAAGAGCTGCGAAGGTTCCAGTTACTGATTCCAAGAAGTTCAAAGGATCTCAAGATGATTCTTATGAAACCCCTGTCAATTCAATGGCCTCTACATCACCTGGATCCATTCAAAATTCCTCTGGATCTCCACAATCGTTGTCTGAAGCTGGTTTCACAAACACTTCAATTTCCTCCAAGAATTCAAGACCTTCATTGTCTCCTCGGATGACTGAAATTCATCAGATGATGCCACCACAAGTTTCAACCTCATCTGGAGCACCTAAAAATAACTTCGAATATGGATACGACTTTTCGAGTACTTCACCTTCTTCTCCAGAAAGTCTGAACCGTTTATCGACGTCTCCTCCAATGGCTTTCGATGAGAATCAGGATCCAATGGCGCTACAGTATTTCCCGGATCCAATTGTCAACTACAGTAACCCAATGGATACCAATTGCTCTGGAAACGAATACAAGAACTTCTATCCAATGAACGGATTCGACTTCAATGCTCCACCAAATCCTTATCAATTCGATTTCAACAATGATTACAAATTCTAATTTCTCATGTGAAATACTCTGCGATCTCATTCAAATTCTTACTGGTTTTGCTAACTAACTTTTTCTGTGAATAATAATTTCTGTTAATAAAATTTTAAAAAATAAAAATCGTTTTTTTTGCTTCAGTTGAACTTAAAAAATACAAAACTTGAGAAAATTCCCTGACTCATTCATTGAAAAATGCTTTGCTACCTTTAACATCTATTCAAAACGCTAAATTCAGACTCAAATTGTGGTTTCTGTCTTCTTTATTGCTCATCATTCGATTTATGAACCGGAGGTTGTAAACTGTTTATTTTTATTATATGGTGTCGTTATGGTAAGACGGCATTCTCTTTGTAAGACTTATTTTATTAGTATCTGTGTACTTTGGGGAAGATTTTATCTGATTGTTTTGAAACATATCCCATTTGAAGACAAATTGAGCATATATTAATATAAATCTGGATTTGGAAAATTGGGAGTATTCCAAAGTTTCTCGAATTTCATGTAAATTGATATGACGTCTGGAAAGTTTCTTTTATCAATAGACCTTAATAATACTCCCTCAGTAGCCCTCTGTATTGCTAACCCTTAATGTCTCTTCTGTACTATTTCGTAAAGTAGGCGGAGCTTCAGAAAACCACAAACGTACTACGTAGCTCTCCAGAATTTTCTTATGTTATCAGTGATAAATTTAATTTTGTTGTTTATGAAGTTCTGGGAGGGGTACTGTAGTTTTGGTGATTGGGTTGTAGGAGAGAGTGGTTGGGAGAGTGGAGGACGTAGAGAAATATGAGTTAACAAGAGTTTTCAAAAGGGAAGTGGAGTGTTCTGAAGAGATAGAATATACTGGCTTTTTTTTTCAAAAAAAAAAAAAAAAGATTACACATTTATGTGTTTCAGGAACCTGATATCACTTTTCTCATAAATGGAACTTTAATCACTCGGTGCAAATCTGTTTTTGATTTATGATTAGTTCAAAATATACAGAAATTCCGATATTTCAGGAACGCAGAGAAGATTCAAAACGTAAATCTATATATATTTATTTTTCAAGCTTGTCAAAATTCCACATCCTGACACCGGGACAAACAGACACGTGAAGTGTTTTATATATAAGGAAGATAAGAATGATTGTAGTCGAAGTTCAAAAAAAAGGTAAGATCAATCAATTCACTTCTGTCTTATTTTCAGTCCGAACCATCAGAACCACTCCAAGTGATCATGTTTCCCGTAGATCATCTCACTGCATAAAGTGTCTGATTTTAGTTCCAACACTTAAAACATTATATTGAATTTCACGACAGATTTCTTCACACGCTCATTTCTAGATCCTCCATCAGCATGTCCTATTGCTCCTGATGCAGTTCCTCCTTCATTTGTGCTTCTGGCTCCAGATCAAACATTCGCGGTTCTGTGGGGAAAATTAGGGGTTCCGGTCGATGCACCAAGTTGCAGCGCCACGTGGATATCCAGAAGGCGAGCGTAGGTCCGTGAAGCGATCGAGGTCCAGCTCCATGCGGACCCAGGAGCGGGGCTCCAGGACCCGGGCTCCAGTACCCGCGCTCCAGCACCCGAAATTCTTGTCTCGGATGCTCCCCCCTCTCTGAAGCCCAGAGAAAGGAAGAACTGATTTTTCCTCCAGCTCCAGCTCCCGGCTCCTGGCTCCCGGATCCTGGATCCTGCTCCAGGCTCCAGCTCCAGCTAGACCTCAAGCTCGGGGTCTAGGAGCTCCTGCTAGCTCAGTCTCCCGACACCTGGTTCTAGCCGGAGCTCCTCTCTCCTCTCTCAAGCCCAGAGAAGATATAACTGATTCTTCCCTCCATTCCCCTCTTTCCTTTATAGTACTGAGGTCGTGGGTTTTTAGGTCGCCTTTTTTTTTGATGAAGAATTTAAATAGTTTGAAAATTTTTTTTGCAACGCGGATTGCTTACATAATGTTTTTCATCACGTTTAAATAACACTAGACATTTTCCTTCTGAAATCTTATTGAATAGGTTGCTTCTTTGAACCGAATTATCTCGTTTCTGGTTTGAGATATCAAAAAAGTGTCAACCAATAAAACGTTGCTGTTAAGACAAACATTTTTGCTCTTGAAAGTTTTTCGATATCTTTAAAGAGAGTCAAGATACACTGGCTCAAAGCCTCAGATTGATTTTTCTAGACTTTCAGCCAGGTAGCCATTTCTATAACCAAAAAGCCCCTTTTTATAAAGAAGCCAATTTAGAGAAATTTCAAAATATCCCTCAAAAAAAGAGCAATAAATTTAAGAGTGCGCAAGAGCATTAATTTTCATGTTGTGCACCCAAAATACAATATGAGCTAAAATACCAAAAAAGGAAAGAGAAACGCAGAATCGTTGAAAAAATTGGAAACAAAAAATGAGCAAAAAGAGATCAATACATACATAAAATGTCTATAACGTTTTTAGAATTTAAATAATGGGCGGGGCTTAGAAAATAGAGAAATGTTAGCGAAAATACAGAAAAATTAGTGTTTTTTTTTTTTGAAAAATTAAAAAATGGGCTAGAATTAGAGAGGCATTTTCGATTGGAAAAATCGAGAAATCAGAGTTTTTGGAATTTTGAAAATATTCAGAAAAGTTTGTGAAAATTCAAACAAGTGGCCTAGTCTTCAAAATTTCAAATTTCGCGCTCTTTAAAAATCCCTCAAATTCCAACCCCTGACATGTTTAAAATTGATGACTAGTAACACAAAAAATCAATAAAAAATTATTGAATGTTCCATGAATTCCATGAATTATTGGCATCGTTCGGGTTGGATGACTGCTGCTGCTGCTGTTGCTGCTGTGGCTGTGAATGATGGTTCTGTGGAATTCCATGCATCTGTTGCTGTTGCTGCTGTTGCATATGCTGTTGTTGTTGTTGCATTTGAACCTGAGCCATGTCCATTTGACCGTAGGTTGGTAGTGAGAACGGACGATGCTGGAGTTGTTGTTGATTGTCCGATGTTGATGGCATATTGTAGTGTTGTTGGACAGCGGCACTTCGATTGTGAGGGGATCTGGAAAAATTGAATTTTTGAATTTTGAAAAAAAATTCAAAATTGTCCGATCGCGATAAAAATTGACTTGGCGGACTGCAATTACACATGAACCAATATCCAGTTTGAAATTTTGCAAAATTTCAAAAATTGAGATTTCGATTTTTGAAAAAATTCGAACGTTTTAAAATTGTCCAATTTAAAATTTCCAAATTTTTCAAAAATCGAAATTTTTTTAAAAATTGTCAATTTTTAACATCGTCCAAGTTGCCGAGTTGGCTAATGATTCCAATGTTGTTTCAGGTCGTGATATCAATTTTTATCAGAATCGGACAATTTCGAAAATTTTCGATTTTCGCAAAAAAAAGACCAAATCTCAAATTTCCAAAATTTGCTAATTTTTTATATCGATTCTTATTATCATGTGATTTGAAGTAGTGATATCAATTTTTATCAAAATTTGATTATTTTTAAATTTCGATGTTTTTCAAAATTTCATCTTTGTTTACCCTACCGTCGACTTTAAGCTTAATTATCTCGGTTCCTATAACAGGTATCAAAAAGTGGTCAACTGATAAAATGTTTATCATAATATCACCAACATTTTATCAGCAGACTAATTTTCGATATCTTCTGTAGGAAGCGTGATAAGTGAGCTCAAAGAGCCACAACGGGATGAACAAGATTTTCAGAAAAAAAAATACATTCAAAAATATTCAAAATTGCCCGATTCTGAAAAAAATTGTTATGACAACCTAAAATCACATGGGAATAGCAATTCTGCACACAAAATTCGAAAACTTTAAATTTCCAATAGAGCGCACTTACCGCATAACCAAATTTGGAGTCATCAGCACTCCATGAGTGTTATCAGCGGCTGCAATGGACTCTCCTGGTGAATCCCTTTGCATTTGATGATGATTATCTCTCAATGGTACATTCATCATAGACATACATCCTGGCGATGAGACGTGTTGTTGGTGTTGAGATGGATGAACGACAGAGTAGGCACGAGGTGGTGATTGGGTCGGGTAGCCAACGTTCGGGTTACCGTAGTCCGGATTCGGAGAGTAGGCCTGGAAAAATAAAAATTTAGTTTATATTGTTTTAAATGTAGTTTCAGGTCGTAATATAAATTTTTATCGGAGTTGGACAATTTTGAAATTTTTCTAATTTTTCAAAAAAATTTAAAAATTCGAAATCTCAATTTTCGTCATTTTGCTAATTTTCGAGTTGGATTTTGTTTCTAATGTTTTTATAGGAATCGGAATTTTTTAAATGAACCAACCGTAAAATCATTATTCGCCTGCCAATTGCTAACCGCATCTTCTGTATTAATGGGTCTAAACAACACATCCGGATTGTTAATCATCTCATCAGCCTGTGCCAACATCCTCTGTCTCTTATACTTCCTTCGATACGTCTTCTGTACATTGATAACGCCTTCATTGTGATGTTTGATGATATGCTCCTTTAATTTGTCCCTTCTACTCGATGCATAATCACATTGTTCACATTTGAATGGTTTCTCCTCCAAATGAATTCTTTCGTGTCGAACTAGATGAGACTTTTCGATGAATCCACGACCACAGATTTTACAGAGATGAGCACGGACCGCCATGTGGGTTCGAAGATGGGCGGCGAGTTGGGACTTTTTGGTTGATGAGTAGTCACAACCGGCTGAAAAATGTTTCATTTATGAAGTCCAAATACAGTATCCAAATACAGTAGTAATACAGTATGAACATTATAGATGGTTTCATAGACACAAATCATTTTGAAACCGGCAAGTTTTCTTATTTCAAGTTGAAAATTGTCAAATTTAAGGTCCTACAAAAGTGGTTCGAAACCTTTAGATTAGTCTTAAAATTTCAGAGTGTACTAAACAAAAATAGAGCTTTAATTTTGTAGTTGACAACTTTTCTGTACAAACTCATATGAATGAGATATGTTGCTTAAAACCAATGCCTTTTGAGTTTTGATTACAGAGTCATGACACTTTAAAGCGTTATATCTCATTTAGATGAATTTGTACAAAACAGTTGTCAACTACAAAAGTGAAGCTCTTTTTTTGTTTGCTATACTCTAAAGATTTTAGCCTCATCTAAATAATTTTACCGTATTTTGTAGACATTCAAATTTGTCGGTTTTCGACTGAAAATAGGAAAACTTGGCGGTTTCAAAATGATTGTCAAAGGCTGGTTATCTATGAAACGACCGATATGGTGTATGTGTATTTGGGTTCTTTGTTGATGGGAAAAATTGGTATTTAGAATTTTTATGTGTAAACGGACCTATCAAACATTGGAACTATAATACTTTTTTGTTGCAAAATTAAATGTTTCCAAACTGTCGAAACCGGTAATAATAATTGATTACACCACTTGAAATCACATTGAAATCACTATCCAGCTTGAACAACTACAAAATTTTGAATACTGAGATTCCGATTTTTAAAATTGTTTTGCGAAAATCGAAAATTTTAGAATTATCGAATTCTGATAAAAATTGATATCACAGCCTAAAGTCCCATTAGAATCTAGTAGAATCAAGCTCGAAAATTTTCAAAATTTGAAAAATTGGGATCTCGAATTTTTTTTCTGAAAAATGTAGAACATTTTTTGTAAAAATCTTTTTTTCGAAAAATTCTAAAATTCTAGAAGGAAACTGTGGTTCTCAAAACAAATAAACAAGGTATAGCCTTTTTTTTGCTCAAAATGTATAAAATAAATCAAAATCCCCGTTTCAGAATGTTTTCAAATTTTCGAGTTGGAAACTGATCACAATATGATTTCAGATCGTGCATCAATTTTCATCTAAATCAAACAAATTTGAAAATTTTGTAATTTTCCATAATTTTTTTAGAAATAATTTAAAAAAATCGAAATCCCAATTTTCCCTACTTGTAATCCGGGCCTTGGAGGACCCTGCCATAATTTCTTTCAGAATCTATATTTTCGAACCAACTGAATCAGATATGATAGAGCTCCGCGAGTACTACAAAAAGGTATTATTTGGAATACTGTATCTTATCTATGAACAAAGTTACAGATCATAAAGTGGCTTTTCTCGCAGGGCCCGGCCTGCTTTTTTGTTTTTTTTTTTGTTCTGTAACTCTGTTCATAGACAAGATACAGTATTCCAAATGATACCGTTTTGTAGAACTCGTGGAATTCTATCATATCTGATTGAGTTGGTTCGAAAACATTGATTCTGAAAAAAGTTATAGCAGCGCCCGCGAAGGCCCGGCAAAGGCCCGGATTACAAGTAAGCAATTTTGTAAACTTTGAAAATTTTCTGACTGGATATTGATTCCTATGTAATTTCAGGTAGTCATATCAATTTTTTAATCAGAATTCAGCGAATTTGAAACTACAAAGTTCTGAAAAAAATTTAAGATTTGGAATCTTGCAAAACTTCATCGCTTACCTAGTTGCCACATTTTTAGATGAAAACTTTGTACGGAAATGAGTTTCTTTGCTTCCGAAAACTATGTTTCGCGCAAATTTTATGATTTTATGGTCGCCTTGAAACCGGCAAATAAATCGCAAAAAATCATAAAAAGAAAGGAAAAGGATGATACGGTATCTCTCAAAACTTTCTCTGTTCTCTCAACTTCCTTTTTTTCATTAAAAATAGAGACATCCATCGACGTCGTCGTCGTCGTCGTCTGTGGCGACGACGATGATGATGACCGTAGCTATGGGGAAAAGAAGAGACGCAGAAATTTTTTGGCCAATTTTCCCATTATTTTTTCAATGAAATATATAAATGTCTACTGAGAAAAACAAAAAATTGGAAAATGGAAGAGATGAAAAGGTCTGTGATAGACTGATTGATAAGTAGTTATCAGTGAGAACAGAAGAATCACGGAACAAACAGAAAAAAAACTCTCGCTCAAAGTACAAAATTGGTCACTGTAGGTTAAAAAAAGAAAATTTCACAAAAAAATCTTAAAATTTTCAGAGAAATCAAAATTTCAATTTTCGAAATTTTGGAAATTTTAGAGTTGGATATTGATTCTTATGCAATTTCAGGTGCGGTTTTAATGTGATTTCAGGTAGTGATATCAATTTTTATCAACGTTTGACCATTTTGAAATTTTTCAGAAAAATGTCAAAGTTTGAAAAAATTCGAAATCTCAATTCTCAAAACTTAGCAAATTTTCGAATTGCATTTCGATTTTCATTCCATTTCAGGCAGTGATATCAATTTTTATGAGATTTGGACAGACTTGAAATTTTCGAAAAAAATCGAAATCTCATTTTTCGAAATTTTGCGGATTTTTGAGCTGGAAATTGATTCTGTCGTGATTTCAGGTCGTGATATCAATTTTCATCAGAATCGAAAAAGCTCGAAAAATTTCAAAACATCAAAAAATAGAAATCTAGGTTTTCAAAATTTTGCAAGTTTTCTAACTGGATATTGATCTTGATGTGATTTCAGGTCGTGATATCAATTTTTATCAGAATCGGGCCACTTTGAAAATTTCCAGAAAATCCGAATTTTTCGAAAAATCTTACCAATATGACAAGTGAACGTATCACCAGTGTGTTGACGACGATGCAGCTGAAGGTGTTCGGCGGTTTTGGTGGCGAAACCACAGTCCTCGCAAACGAATGCTCTGAAAAATAGACACTTTCAAAAAAAATCGAGTTTCAGATGCAAATACGCTCTAATGTGAAAATTTTGATAATTTTTCAAAATGCTCCAATTTCAATAGAAATTGATATGACGACCTAAAATAAGCTCTAGATCTCAAATCTGCTGGAAAATTTCAAAATTTAGAAAAACAAAAAAAACGTTTTGAATTTTTTGAAAATTACCAAATCTCACCTAACATCATTATGCGTCGCCATATGATGGTCCAACGAGGAGTGCTGATGGAAACCTCTTCCACATTCCTCACAATGCAATGGACGATCATCTAGAATCGAATGCATCCGTTCGTGGGCAAACAGTTGGGACCGGGTCCGTCCCTTCCATGCACACTCGCCACATTTGAAATATCGAGCGTCCGCTGGAAAAAATTAGTTATTTTTGATAATGAAATTGATTACTTGATAAAATAGGCTCTAGACCTTCATTTCTTGAAAATTCAAAAAATTCGAAACTTTCGAAAAAAATTTTTTTTGGAAGTTGAATTTTTGTGATTTTTTTGTAGAATAACAATCTAGAGTCCATTCTAAGTCGTGATATCAATTTTTATCAAAATTGGGCCATTTTGAAAATTTTCGGAAAAAAAATGTTTTTTGAAATTTCAATTTTTATCAAAAAATCACTTTCCTAAACTCACTGTGCTGTAATCGATGTGTCAAAAACTCTTGAATCTCATTGGTCGTGAATTGACATCTCTCACAGATATACGGTATTTCGGTCCAGTGTTCAGCACAGTGCAAATAGAATTGTTTGCTCCAATTCGTCTCGAATTCACATAGATGACACATGTAGTAGGTGTTACGGTTGTGATAGCGGGCTTTGTGCTTTTCGAGGAGCTGAAAATACAGTATATTTCAAAACCCAGCGTAATTTTTTTTTTGAAAAATTTGATGCAATTTTTTGAAAAAATGTTTTTTCTCAAATTTCAAAATTTTGAAGTTCTTGTGGCTGAATAGTGATAAGGGAGTGATTTTAGGTTCTGATATCAATTTTTATCTCAATCCAACCATTTTGAAAATTTTCGGAATTTTCGAAAATTTCAAAAAATCGTAATCTAAATTTTTGAAATTTTGCCAATTTTCGAGTTGGATATTGATTCTTATGTGATTTCAGCTCGTGATAACAATTTTATCCTAATCTGAAACAATTTTGAAACTTTCACCTCATCAGTCGACGTTCGATATCCACAGAAATGACACATCGACTGTCCATTCTCATCTGGTTTGTCCTCGTCATCCTCACAGTCATCCGGGTCCATCATATCGATTGGTCCATACGTATGACATCCTTCAAGTGAACACGTCGCATAGACACCGTCAATTCCATCCTCGTCGATCCATGGGATGCCTAGAAATCGCATAACTCTGTTATTTTCAAATTTCGAGATCTAAAATCTAGACATTGTTGATTAACTTGTTTAGAGCTTCGAAATGAGCCCAAACACGACTAGGTTCGAAAAGTTTTTGGGATTACTGTAGTTTTTGCGGTGGGGCCCAAATTGTGTCAATTTTGAGGGAATATAGGCGCGTTTAGGCTCATTTTGAAGCTCTCGATAAGTCAAGCAAGAATATATAGGTTTTATCGCAAATTCCCTCGAAATTGGCACATTTGGGCCCCACCACGAAAACTACAGTAATCCAGAAATTCATCACAATCTAGTCGTGTTTAGGTTTATTTTGAAGCTTTTGACGAGCTGGGAAACTTTATAAGTAGTTTTTCCGAAATTTCGAAAGATGAGCAAGATATCAGCAATTTCAGATTTTCAAAAAAACTGAAATTTTCAATTTTTCGTATCTCGCTTTTTTTCAAAAAATTTTGAATAAAACCCTCACATCATTGCTCAGCTTATTAAAAGCTTCTGGAAAAGTTGGGTTGGGTTAGTTAGGCATGGATATGTCCTCAAAAACTAGACTGTCTGAAAATCTAGGTAATTAAAAACTAGGCTATTAATCCAAACATGAAGGGGTCCTTAAGGGTCAGCCTGTCAGAAAACCTAGAACACCAAATGTTAGGCCAATCAGAGCATGCAGAGATCCTTTAAATTTAGTCCCTCGAAAAATCTAGGCCATCAAAACCTAGGTCATCAATCCAAGCATGAATGCGTCGTCAGAAGTTAGTCCCTCTCCAAATCTAAGCCACAAAAGGTTAGGCCGTCAATTAGGGCATAAATCGGTCCTTAGAAATTACTCCACCAAAACCTAGGCCACATCAAACTCACTCTCATTCTCGGCAGCAGCTTGTGGCGGTGGATTTAATGGCTGCAAAGTCCTCTTCAACCCTTTCGGCCTTTTCAACTTCTTCTTTTCGACTGCGCCCATTTTCATTTTTAGCCGATTCGACATATAATTTCCAGATTCTAACATTTGTGCAGACGTCAATTGACCTTCTACAATGTAGTCGTCGGGATCCTCATTCTCAGAATCTGTCGAGTCGTAGATGTCGTCTTCGAATTGAGACGGATCGTGAAGGACGGGCAGATTGACGAGCGTTTGGCGGAGATTCAAAAGTTGCGCCGAGTACTTTTCCATTAGCATCGAGTTGTCTTCCCTGGAAAAGATAGTCAAATGCTTCAAAATGGTCCAAATATGATATAAAAATCAGAATTTCCAAAAAACTTCAACTTACATCACATGCAACAACAAGAATCGACTCTTCTGACTCTTCGAGAGCAACGGTGAATAATCCAGCAAGAATTCCAATGTGTCCGCAGAAACTTCTCGAAATTCACAAGATTCTAGAAGTAGACGAAAAATCTCTTCCCGTTTCGAAACGTCTTCACCAACCCATCGTATTATTAGTCTGAAATTTATATATTTTTTTAATTTTCTCAATAGAGCGCATTTGACAATCTTCACAAAATTTCATCATTTGAGCGCGTTTGAGACACCAATTGAAATTTTATCATTAGAGCGCGCTTGCAAAACATTTAAATTTAAATTTCTCTTCAAAAAATTTGAAAAACGTCAAAAATCATCAATTTCTTATTAGAGCGCACTTACTTCAAATAGGTATCCGGTGTGATGCAATCCGAATATTTTGGGTCTCCAATCAGACGTGTTAGCTGTGTATAGGTATACGAAATGATATCCCGCGACTCCAGAAGACATCTGTTCAGGTTACTGTCGAAGTAGTCGGTGGCAGACTGCATGAAATTGAGTTTTGTAAAATAGGTCAGATTCTGATAAAAATTGATTTCACGGTCTTAAACGATCTCTAGAATGATATTCTAGAAGAAAATTTCAGAAAAGTCGAAATTTGAAAAAAAATTTTTTTCGAAATTTCAAATTTTTGAAATTGGTCCAATTTTGAAAAAAAATTGATATCACGACCTAAAATGGCCTCAAAAATAATATTTCAAAAGAAAATCACAAAGATTTTGATTCCCAAATAAAATTTTTTTTTAGAAATTCAAAAATTCTGAAAATTAGTTACAAACCTTAATGAGACCGGGCAAATTATATCTTTGCGCCAGACTCCTTATCGATAGGCAGTTTGCTGCGTCTAGATATCGATCCAGATACTCGGCACAGTAGTTTTTTAGGCGGACCATCTGAAAATTGGTTTTTTTTGTCGTGTTGGCTTTTTTCTGGATTTTTTACACTTTTTTTGCTATAAATGGACATTTTTTGCTAGTGGAAGGTCCCACAACGAAAACTACCGCAATCCGAAAAAAATTTTCTGATTTTTATTGAATTTTCGCTTTTCGACTGATTTGTTTTCACTATAAAATTTCCTACATTTTCAGACTTTCGTTTCAGCAAAATAGTAAAAAATAGGTGAAAATTTTCACTAAAAATCGAGAAAAATTCCGGAAAAAGTATTTCCAGGTTACGGTAGTTTTCATTGTACGCAATTTGTTTTTCGTATGTAATGGTGAGCATTTGAAAGACAAAATTCAAAATTTTGGTCAATTTTCGACTTCGTTTGTCCAATTATTACCGTATTTTCTCGTTTTTGAGTCGTTTTTCAGCTAGCGACCGCTACGCCGACACGCGACGCGTCTGAAATTGGCTATGTGCTCAATTTGAAGCTTTCGTCTCGAGACCAACGACTGTTAGTAAAAGTTGAGTCTTTTACCGTAGTATTCACCAACAACGGTATTTTTGTGTTAGAGCGCATTTACACTGACAATTTTCACCAAATTTCTCGTTTTTTTTCTCCAAATTTTGTCAGTTTTTTCCCCAAAAATCAAAAACTCACCATCAAATCATTAGCGAATCTCAGCAATTCCGAAACGCTTCCCCTATCAATGACCACATTTCCACTGTACATATAATTCAAACACAATTCGAACACTTGTGGATGTTTACTATTTATCGTTATCTGCTCTTTTGTCACTTTGCATTCTTTGAACATTGAATCGAAATACGGACTGTGCGCCGCCAGAATATTCCGATGCGCCGCGAAAACGCGAGCGGCGACGATGAGTTCGGCATCGCAGAAGCGTCCCGTGTTCCGTTGGTATTGGAGACGTTCGAAAACTGAAATATAGAGGGTTTTTTGATTGTTTGCAGTGCTAAGTTTGTTGATTGTTTTTCCTTATTCTCGCAAAAAAATGAAGCTTACCGCGGTCGGCCGCGGCAATTCTGCACAGCCTTGTTATTTAGTGATATTCTGTATTATAGTGGTATGAAAAAATCAGAGCTGTGGAGTAGAAACGCCGGTGACCGGGGCCTAAGATTTTCTAGGTCACAACGATAACTACAGTAACCGGATTTTGTCTTCGTCAATTTTTGTGGGTTTTCGACATAGTTTTCACTATAAAAATGTTCTATTTTCCGATTAGAATGGTCGAAAATCAATGAAAATTCTGAAAAATTAAAATATATTCAGGTTACGGTAGCTATCGTTGTGAGACTTTTGGCCAGGGCCACCGGCGTTTTCTCTTCCGAATAGCTTTAGTTTTTTCTATATTTTATCGATTTTTTGACTGAAAATGCACGAAAATTATAACTGCAAGCTTTTTGTTCAGTGGAGCGTGTTTGTTATTTTGCTATTTTTGAAGAAATGTGTTTTCAGCAATTCTTTATCGATTTACAGTTGTTTCAAGCTAAATTGTTGGTGTTCGAAAATGTGAAAATTTACTTTTTGTTTTTTTTTTTGAAAAATTGTTCTGTAGAGCGCATTTGCCTAAGTTTTGTTTTTGAAAAATTAACGCTGAAAAACTGGTTTTCAGCCAAATTTTATGAATTTACATCGTTTTTTTTTTCGAATTTTCAACCTATTCGGAATGTTTATTGGGCAAAAATATACATTTTAAAAGCAAAAATCGCCAATTCAACCCGCCAGTTTGGGCTAAAAAATGCTTTTTTAATTTTTCATACCGAACTGGCAAATTTTGCACATAAAATGTGAATTTAAGCCTAAAAAACAATCTCTACAGGAGAAAATACGGAAAAATGACAAAAATTGATAGAAATAGGCTTAAAAACCGGTTTTTCAGTGCAAATTTTTCCAAAAAAAACCAATTTTGGCAATTGTGCTCCGTCGCACAAATGCTGATTTACAAAGCAACTTTTACAATTCTAGCACAGCTGAAAGCTGGAAATAAACAAAAAATCAATTTTCAGAACTATTTTTTTTAATTTCTCAATTTCGCTCTGCTGAAAATCTACCAAATTTTCAGCCATTTTTTTCTTCGATTTATCATTTAAAATTTCAATTCCTTCTAATGAAAAAAAAAGACAAAAATTGCAATATTAATATGCAAAAAATCGGAAAATATCAGTTAAAAAGCCAAATTTTGGCATCCGCGCTCTACCGCAAAAATTTTTCAGCTAATTTTTCCGTCGATTTTCCATTCAAAATTTCAATTTTAAAAGATAAAAAACTCACTCATCTGCCCGGACGAATCTGTAAACGACATCGGGCACAGCCCGATGTTCTCCGAACTTGCCACCAACATCATCTGCTGGAATTTTCAGATTTCTAGAAAATTCGGCGGAAATTTGAAAATTCAGAAAAAGGTTTTCATTCGCGAAAAAGAGTGCAACAAACCAATAAACCGAGCTAGCATTCAAATCCCCATTGTTCGGCGGGGAAGGCGCTATGCAAGTGCGCTCTACTGGACAATCGATCGGTATGGGGCATTTAGGCATTTATTTAGGGGGTAACAAACAAGAATACATATATCACTTGAGTATCATAAATATAAACATATCTAAAGGGAAAAATATAAGGAAAAAAAAAGAAAAATAAATTATTGGGAATCCTCCTCCTCCTCTGGCACCTCCTCCTCTGCCATGTCCGCTCTCATGGCGGTCGTGGCCGCTGGCGTTGGCGGTCGGCCCTTCAAAACCGCGCTCTCCGGGTCTGTCAAAAAGCGAATGAGTCGTACAATAATATCATGATACTCCGGGTCGTCCGCCTCGTACTCCTCCACATAATCCGCTTCTGCACCAACTAGAAGGTCGCAATGTTCCACTCCGTACGTATTACGATCCCTCATTAGACAAAAAAGTGGAATTTCAAATGGTCGGGGGAAAACGCTTATCTGGCCGTTCTTCACCAGAAGCTCGATAATTGGATTCAGAAATGCCACACATGCGTAGAAATCCGGTTCATCTTGAATAATGGTTCCGCAGACGAAGGCACCGTACTGCTGGCCGAATAGCACGACATAGTCTTCGTCAAGACGTGGATGCTCGCGGAGCACTTGCTTCACAGCTTTATGAACGTCTTTTGCCTGTTGTCCAGTGTTTTGACGCTTCATGTACTGTAGGTCGGCGCCGGAGGGTATGGGCTTACGGTAGTTGACGACGAGAACGCACATCCCGGCGTTGACCATTGTGCAGAGGAGCGGTTCGACGGATCTGGAAAAACATATGGGTTTGCTGGAAATCAGACATTGGATTGGTCCATTTTTGGGCCGTTTCTGGGGCGTTTCAGGCAGAAACGGACCAATAGCGGATCAAAAACGAACGGGCTGTATCTGGTCTCTTTGAATCCGTTTTTGGGTCGTTTTTGGGTCCTAAACGACCTTTAAACGGGTCAAAAACGGCCCAAAAAACGAATCAAGAAACGGACCAAGAATGACAGCTTGTTTCAGGTCCGTTTTTGGCCCGTTTGTGGGCCGCGTTTGGTCCGTTTGCGGGCCGCTTTTGGTCCGTTTTTGGGCAGTTTTTGGGCCGGTTTTGATCCGTTTCTGGGGCGTTTCAGACAGAAGGCCCAGCGACAGATTTGGTCCGTTTTCGGGCTGTTTTCAAGCCATTTTTGGCCAAGTCACAAGACAGGGCTATCGAAAAGAGGGCCGCGGTTTCAACCATCTAGATTTGGGCCATACACCAAATCTAGATGCTTGAATTTTCAATTTTTTAAAGGTCCGGAAGGAAAAAAACCATTTGGGCAGTTTCTGGTCCGGCTTGGCTCATTTTCGACCTCTTATAAACTACTCACACAATCGTCATATTGTGATCCCAACCAGCGTGCGGCACCACCACCAATGGGAGCTTCTGTCCAGGCATAAAACTCTCGGGACACATGTAAAGGATGCCCGAGTAGCCACCATCGAAATGAATCGTTTTCACTTCGAAATTGTAGATTTCATCGCGTTCCGGTCGTTGGGAAGTGACCAAACGCGCTTGGTATGTCTCTTCTGGTCCTGAAAATGGGATTTTTTTGCGTTTTTTGGCGATTTTTCCAAAAATATCGTTTTAAAAACGGACTAAAATCTGTGGGCCGTCTTTGACTTGCCGTTAGGTCGTTTCTGGTCGTTTTTGGATCATTGCTATCCGTTTTTGATCTGTTTCTGAACTGGTATTGGTTGGTTTCATAAAGCGGTCTTGAAACCGTGCAAAACCTGCCCAGAAACGGCTCAAAAACAGACGAATAGAAAATGAGTCCAACATCGATCCCAAATCGGCCGAAAATGAGCTAAAAACGGACCAAAAACGGACTAATAACACAGTGGCCAGAAAGGGAAATCCAGATACCAGAAACTCAATGACAAGTCAAAAACATCCCAAAAAGCGACTCGTAGACCAGACGGGCAGAAAGTTAGTCAAAAATCATCAGCCTAATGTGGACCAAGAATGAGCCAATGACAGGCAAAAGACCGTCGTTTTTGGTCCGTTTATGATCCGTTCCTGGCGGAGTTTTGCCTAAAACGCACTAAAAACGGACCAAAAGTGGCTCAACCACAGATAAAAAAAAGGCCTCGAAATAGGTAAAAAAAGACCGAAAACAGCCAAAAAATAAGTCATAAACGGACCTAAAACGGACCGGAACGGGCCAAATCTGTTGTTGGGCCGTTTTTAAAACGTTTTCGGGTCATTTAACCAAGAACGGGACAAAAATATTTTAAAAATAGGTCGAACGGACCAAAAGCGGCTCAAAAACGTTTCGTCATTTTTTGAGCCGTTATTGGCTTGTCAGTGGCCCATTTCTGGTCCGTTTGTAGGTCGTTTTCGGGTCGTTGAATAAACGTACCAAAAACTATCTAAAAATGGACCAAAACGGGCCGAAGGTAAAAAATGGGTCCGAAAGCAGCCCAGAAACGACTGTCAAACGGACCAAACGCGACTTTAAAACAGAACAGCCCAGAAATGGCTCAAAATTGGACCAAAAACGGCATAAAACCTTACCACTTGTCTGAGTCGATGCGATATCCGAAATCCATAAACGAGAGAAACTATTCGCCGAGACCGTCTCAAAAAGTATCTCATCGTTTTGAACGTCGAGAATCAGTGCTGGCCGTGGGAAATTGAATCTGCTGACTTTCAGAGTGTCAGTACACAATGACAAGTTGACCAACTCGGTTTGATGGTTTGCGTTGAATATGATGCTTTTGCTGCCGTTTGCCCACGGTCTCTCGGGTACACTCCAGATGCGATATTCGCCAAGGGAGATGACTTCGTGTTGGAAGGTGACGGCGGCGCGCACGAATGGCCACATGAACTGAAATCGACATTTCGAAAAGTGTCAGATTTTGATAATCACGGCCTAAAATCACGGCCTAAAATCACATTGGAATCAATGTCCAGTTCAAACATTTGCAAATTTTCGAAAATTTTCAAAATTGTCCAACTTTTGATAAAAATTGTTATGACGACCTGAAATCACATTGGTATCAATATTCAGTTCAAAAATTTGTAAGATTTCGAAAAATCCTATTTTGAAATTTTTCGAAATATTCGAAAAAAAAATCAAATTCTTAATTTTCGAAATTTCGCAAAATTTCGAGCTTGATATCGATTCTAGAGTGATTTCAGGTCGTCATATCAATTTTTATCAAAACTGGACAAGTTTGAAAATTTTCGAAAATTTCCAAAAAAAAAAATCAAAACCTCAATTTTTAAAATTCTGCTAATTTTCGAACTGGATACTATTTCTAATGTGATTTCAGGTCGTCATATCAATTTTTATCGCAGTCCGACGATTTTGAAAATTTTCGAAAAAAATTCAAAAATTCCAAAAAAATCAATTCGCAGTTTTCGAAAATTTGCAAATTTTTGAGCTGGATATTATTCCTAGTGTGATTTCAGGTCGTGATATCAATTTTTATCAGAATCCGACAATTTTGAAAAATTTCGAAAAACATCGAAATTTTCAAAAAATCAAAATCGTAGTTTTCGAAATTTTGCGAAATTTCCAAAAAAAAATCGAAATCTCAATTTTCAAATTTTTGCAAATTTTCGAGTTGGATATTAATTATCATGTAATTTCAGATCGTGATATCAATTTTCATCGCGATCGGGCTATTTTGAAAATTTTCGAAAATTTTCAAAAATCAAAAAATTTAAATCGTATTTTTCGAAATTTTTTGTGATTTTCCGAGGTGGAATGTAAATCTGATGTGATTTCAAGTCGTTATATCAATTTTTATCGCAATCGGACGATTTTGAAAACATTCGAAAAAATTCGAAAATTAAAAAAAAGCCAAACTCTCAATTTTGGAAATTTTGCTGATTTTCGAGCTGAATATTGATAACAATGTCGTTTCAGGTCGTGATATCAATTTTTATCAGAATCAGACGATTTTGAAAATTTTCCAAAAAAAAACGACTCACCAACACAACCGAGAAGCTAATGGTAGGTCTGTAGGGAAGGAACACAGCCAACTTCTTGTCATCGGGTGAGAATGACATACCAATTGGCATTTGCATCTTCGCGAATATCTTATTGACATACAACTCCCCGAATCGATGCCAATACAAATCCCCATCACTGTGGAATATGATTCCTTTCGAGTCCGGCGTCCAAAGAACCACATTGATCTGTCTGGTGCATACTGATTCATCTGTTATCACTGCCGTTTTCTGGGTTTCGAAATCGTAGATTCCTATCACGAATTGTCGTTCTTTTCCGCATTTCGTCCGTTTTTGTTTCTCGTTTGGTTGCGCGAAATACAAGAATTTACGGTTGTTGGCTGGTGAGAAATCGAAATGGCGGTGGGGATCTGGAAATGTTGATATTGCTCATGCGCCTTTGATTACTGTAGAGCCCCTGTTTTCTTATTCTGACTAACAATTTGATTAAAGATGGTTTTCCAGCAGTTCTTCAAGAAAATTTCAAAATGATTTCTTGGGTTTTTTTTTGAAACAAGTCAAAAATTTTTTTTTCCAAAATTAATAAAAATCTGAATGGAATTTTTTTTAAAGGTTTTGACACACTTTGAGATTTCCAGCAAGATCAGAAAAAAAAGCAGAAAACAAATCGGGAAAAGAGGAATCGAACTAACCCTTGTCAGTTACCACCATCCCTGTTCACCACTACACCACACTCGCTGTTCCTCACTGCTTCCACAATTTGTATAAGAAAAGGGGAGATCGCGCTCACGCTTTTAATGCTTTAACAGAGGTGGAATTTCAGACGCGTTTTTTCAGCTTCTAGGTACCGAGGGGCACGAAAAAAAGTCGTCTCGTTATTGACCATGTCCGAAAGTATACGTGTACCAATTTTCAAGAAATTCTCAACCACTGTCTGAAAACACTTCCCTTGTAAGAGGCACTGCAATTACAGGGGCCCTTCTAATGCAGGGTATACAGTTATAATCGAATTTGCTATACAAAAACAGTTGGGAACACCGTTAAGTCTTCTTTAAGGACCCATGCGCATTTGATAATCAAATTTCGGGCTACAGTAACCAAAGGTTGATTACTATAGCACAAAATCTCGAAATTTCAAGGTTACATGAGCCTTTGACTACTGTAAGCAGCCTAATTTTTCGAACTTGTATGGCCAATTTTTGGTCGTTTTTCTGAATTAAAAGAGGCCAGACACCAAAAAAAAAGCTTTCCTGATATTTTGCATAGAGAACCCCCATGAGGGGTTGAACTCATGACAGGCAGCTCAGGGGTATAGCGCCGCTACCGGCTGAGCTACGGGGGGCGCGAAGGCGCCTGACGACCGATGGTCTACATAAGCGCGGCGCGATTTCGTCCCCCGAACTGTCCCCCGAAATTTTTGCTGTCTCGCCTCCTTTAAGGAACTTTGAAAAATCGAATTTTCTGTACCAGAAAAGTTGAAAACATGCGCCTTTGATAATCAACTTTCGAGCTACAGTAATCCAAGTTGGATTACAGTTGCACAAAATTTTGAAAATTCAAGGTTCCATGCGCCTTTGATTACTGTAGAACGTTCAATTTTTCCGTATTATTTTCAGCTGTTTTTGACCGATTTTCGGCCAGTTCTTGGTCCGTTTTTGCGCCTTCGATAATCAAATTTTGGGCTACAGTAATCCTAGTTGGATTACTGTAGCCCAAAATTTCGAAATTTCAAGGTTATATGTACCTTTGATTACTGTAGATAACCAATTTTTTTGTTTATTTTAACTGATCTTCGGCCAGTTCTCGGTCCATTTTCGGTCCGTTTTCTGACCGTTTTTCACTTTTTTCTGAATTTCATGCGCCTTTGATTACTGTAGCTTTCCGTATTTCGAGTATATTTTTGGTCAATTTTTCGGCGATTTTCGTGATTTTTTTTTGGACCATTCATGGCAATTTTCGGACCGTTCTTTTGTCCGTTTTTTGGCAGATTTTTCCGATGTTTTTTCTCTCTTTTCAGGGTTTCATGCGCTTTTGATTACTGTAGCTCAGTTCATTCTATATCCAAAAAATTAAATTTCATAAACCTTTGATTACTGTAGAAAGTCCAGGTTTTCCGTAATGTTTTCAGCCGTTTTTGACCTATTTTCGGCCAGTTCTTGGTCCATTTTTGGTCCTTCTTGACCATTTTTTCACTTTTTAAACTTTTTTCTGGATTTCATGCGCCTTTGATTACTGTAGTCTCAAGTTTGTCGAGCTTATTTTTGGTCATTTTTTCGACGAATTCCACTTATTTTAATCGACTTTTTGGCGATTTTCATCGAAAAAAAAACTATCAAAATCGTCGAAAAATTGAATTGTTTCTTTTTGAAAAATCGTTTAAAGGAGCATGTATGTAGCTAGAGATTACGGTGTTTTTCGATTTCGACTGCTTTTTCAGTGGGAAAAAAAGCCTGAAAACGGGCAACGATTGAGAAAAAAAAACAGTCAAAATGGGATTTTCCAGGTTACGGTAGTTTTCGTTTTGTGAATTTTATTGGATATTTTTAACCATTTTCACCCATTTTCCTCCAATTTTTCGGAAAATACCAAACCCCCCCCCCCCCCCAAAAAAAAAAAGCAAACCTTGCAAAATCACTGGTCCATGCAAGTGATTCCCGTCCAACACCAAGATCATAACTGCCTCGTGTCTCAGCATCGACTCTATCTGAATCACATCCTTCTCGTGTCCCATAGCAATCGATTCGGATAAGAATCCACATAATTCTGAGTCATCGGACACAAAATACGACGACATCTTCCAGTCTTTGTGATGTTCCTGTGTTAATTCCATCCATTGACGCCGTCGTTTCGACAGTAATCCACGTTGCATGTGTTGTTGGCGAAGGTGAGACGGGTCCTGGGTGTGCATCACCAGGGACACCTCCTGGGGTTCGTAGCCGGTGGGACTGACGATTCGGCCCGTCCGGATACGGCACTGATCGAGGTGATAGGTTATCGACATTCGCTGGAAAAAGCTATTTCGAAGGCTTAACATCAAAAAAATTGTCAAAAATACCATATTTGAGCATTTTTTGGGCAGTTTTGATTTCGAATGTCGAAAACCTACCAAAAATGGTCAGAAATGCTCAAAATTGCTTAAAAATAGTTTAACATGCTTTAAAATGGTAAAACTGCCGAAAAACGCAAAAAATGCTGAATATTTGGATGTTTTTTGAGCTCGCCTATAGGTATTTTTAGTGTAAATTGAGTGCTGAAAATGCAATTTAAAGGCGCATAGTCGAAAATTCATTTATCGAAAATATGATTTTTTTAACGAAAAACTCGAGAGCAAAACTGAACCTCAATTTAAAAAAGCTGAATCTCAACAAAAAAAAAAAAAACTGAACCTCAACAAAACTGAACCTCAATTTGGCTGAAAAAATGTCAAAAATCGCATTTTTTTTTCGAATTTTTCAAAATTTTCGAAAAATCGCAATTTCGAAAAAAACCCACTTTCTCTTTCGGCATTTTTTGTCAACTTTTCTCAGCTTTCTTAGATATACGAATACGAATTTTTAGGTGTTTCTCTCGCTATTCGATTTAACCCCGAGTCTCGGTTACCGAGACGATGGCCGAGTTTTCGGCGGTTCCTAGGCCAGTGCGTTGTTTTGTTTTTGGAATTCGGTCAGTTGGCTGTAACTAGAAAATAGCGGGAAATTCGAATTGAACATCTAAATTTTCAGCAGAAATAGTAAAAATTTCGGTCAAAAATCCGGAAAATTTCAGCAGAATTATTGGAATCTCACTCAAAATTTTTGATTAGAATTTTCGAATTTCAAAATGAAATATTTACTAAAATCTCAGAAAATTTTGAAAAAAAACCAAAAAATTGCCCAGAATTTCAGCCAAAAATAACCAGTTTTCAGCTCAAAATTTTGAAATTCCAACGAAAAAAAGTTTTTGAAGTTTGAGAAAATGTCAATTTTTCAAATCGAAATTTGTGATTTTTTAACCGAATTTTCGAAGAATTCTTTTTCAATTTTGACAATTTTCGGCATTTTTAACACAATTCTCAGCTATCAAAATAAACGACGCAAACGATGAAAACAGTGAAAATTGACCCAAAAAACGTAAAATTTTTCCGAATAAATACTTATTTTTCACCAATATATAGAATTTTTACAACTGGAAAAAATACATATACAAATTACCGGAGAAAAGTGTATAAATTACCAGGGAAACGGGAGAAAGAGGATACTGCTAAGTGAATAAATATGGAAATTTACATTTTCAGCAGGAAGAAGAAAAATAATGATAGAGAATTTTAGTCAGAAACAAGACTTCAACGGGAATGAAATAAGTTATTTGGAGAGCGATTTCTCGAACCAACGGACCATGTTGATTGCGTAGTCGGCTTCAATGTTGACCTCATCCAATGGATGGTTCGATGGTGGATACGAGAGAACTCTGAAAGTAAGAGAATCGATTTTAGGAGGGAAATTTGAATTTTTGAGAATTTTAAAAAATCAGAATCTTTCAGAATCTCAAAATTCCAAAAAACCCGTGTTTTCAAAAATCTTCAAAATGTCGAAAAAAACAGAATCTTAGAATTTCAAAGTCCCAGATTCTGATCTTTTTTCGGGATTCTGAAGAATTCTGAGATTTTAAGATTTTCAGAATCGCAGCTTTCTAGCAATTTAGAATTAAACTGAAAACTCGAAATTTCAGAAATTCGGAATCTCTAAATTACCAACTTTCAGGATTTTCAGAATCCGTCAGATTCTCAAATTTCAAGATCTCGGTTTTCAGAATTTTATTTTTTTTCCAGATTATCCAAATTCTTCGAAATCCTTGAAATCTCCAAAAACACCAGAATCAGTCAGAATCTCATAGAGCTCTCCAAAATCTGGATTTTTTTTCAAAATTTCAGATTATTTCAGCATTTCAAGAATCTCAAAATCTCTAAATCTAGAAACCCTCGAAATCTCAAAATTCCAAAAAATACATATTTTTAAGAATTCTCGAAATCTCGAAAAACTCCAGAACCATTCAGAATCCTTCAAATCTCGAAATTTCAGAATTCCGAAATCTGAAAACTCCAGAATCTCAGAATTTCGGATTTTTTTCGAATTTTTATGATCTTTCAGAATTCTTCAGAATCTCAGAATTCCAGAATCTTGGAACTTTTCAGAATCTAAATATTTCAGAATTTCAGTTATTCACAAATTTCAAAAACCCCTCACTTCGCCGGCACCCCACGAGCCTTCAACGATCGAATGAAGGCGCGACAGTGTGGAACGACACGCAGATCCTTCTCTCCAATCAACAACAAATACGGTGTCACCGCCTTCTCAACATGAGCAATCGGCGAGGCATTGAACATTGCCTCTCGTTGTTCCTGGGTTGTTGTCTTTGTCCAATCAGCCAATTCTCCAGTTCCCTCGTAGAAACACCATTCGGGAATATCAGTGATATCGTGCATCGTGGAAATGTTGACAACTGGATTCAGGGCGACGCATGACTTGTAGAATCCAGGATACTGTCCAATGAGATGAGAGACCATGAAGCCACCGTACGAGCCACCGAACAGCACGCATTTGTCACCAGAGATACGGGGATTCTTCTCCAGGACAGTGAGGACGGCATTCTGGAAAAAATACATACCGTAAAACTGACGGCTTCTGAATTCCGAAAACGTGCTTTTTTGAAACTTTCCCATTAGTCAACTCTCTTTTTCACGCGATTTCCGACATTTCGATACCCATATCGACCTAGTTTGGTGACAATTTGATTTTTGACGTCTTCTGAATTCAGAATTCAAAGTTTCCCGAATTAGGGTAATACGGGTATCAAAACGTCGGAAATCGCGTGGAAAAGACAGTTGACGACGCGAAAATTGCTATTTTCAGCCTAAACGGTCTGAAACGTCTGAAAACTAAACTTTCAAAATCCGATTTCTAGACTTTTCTTCATTTCAGCTCAAATTTCAGCCAAAACTCACATGAACTTGTTTCGCATCGATATCTCCACATTTTCCAGCCAAATCCCTAATGAAATCGTCTCCAAACCCGACAGATCCAGTGAAATTAATCTGAAGCACCGCGAATCCCGAATTCAACAACGTCGTCAAATCTCTCCGTGGCCACACCGCCCAAGAAGCTCCATGCGGTCCTCCGTGCGGATTCACAACCAACGGAAGGTTCTGTCCCTCGTTAGGCACATTCAGAATGCCCTCATAGGTCTGTCCATCGTGCTCGAATTCCAGAATCTCCGATGAGAATTCGAATAGATGACGTCGAGAGGTTAGATTCTTTCCCTCGTCGATGCGCACCCAAACCATTGAATCGGCTTTGGAAGGTTCTGGAAGACGTCCCAAGAGCACATTCGGCGGGCGGTTGGGGGCAGAAACAATGGCGAGAATCTCATCGTCAAAGACATCGAGAAGGGTGAAGGATCCCAAGAAATTGGCATTATTGCTTAGCTTTTCAATTTCTCCGTTGCTGACGTTTACTGAAATGAGCTCTAGCTTGGAGCACCATGCTACCGACAAGATAAGACGTTTGGAGTCGCTGGACCAGGATCTGGAGACAGTTTGTGGGAAACTGAAGCCCTGGAATTCAGAAGCTGCCCGTTTTTCAGTCACAATCGGGACCACAGTTCGTTTTGGGATGTCTTGGGGCTTCTTAGCCACGTCAATCGGCCATTCCACAGCTATCATCTCCAGGACGGCTTGATGTGGTCCATCAGCGGCTCTCTGGAACCAGACCAGCGTCTTGCCATCTGGTGAAAATTGGATTTCCTCGGCGGCCACCTCTCCTTCGCTGATTTGAGTCAATTCTCCGGATTTGATGTCATAGTAATAGACGTGGCCGGCGCGGTTGTTACAGTAGATTCGGCCCAACCGCGGCTTGGTTTCCGAGCCGTCTAGGCCAAAGAAGACGATTCCAGTGTCGTCGGGAGCCCATTTCGCGTAGCATGGAGAGATGTGAGCGGGGATTTGATCGTAGACGGTGACGATGCCACTGGCGACGTCGGCGGTGCAGATGACTGGACGGCGGACGTCGACGTTCTGCTCGCCCCACGATTCGGTTAGCTCGTATTTTTTGCCCTGGAAATTGCCAATTGGGACATTGTGAAGCGGATTTTCGGGAGTTCTGGGGATGTCTATCTCCAATCTATACGTCTAAATTTCAGCTCAATTATCTCGGCTCCTTTGAAAGATCTCAATAATCTGTCAACTGATAAAATGTTCCTCATAGTATCAGTAACATTTTATCTGTTGACAGATTAATGAAATCTTTCAAAGGAGCCGAGATAATTGAACTCAAAGAGCAAGTACTAGAAAATTGTCAATTTCAAATTGGTATATTGGGAAGCGGATTTTTGGGTTTTTCGGGGTTCGGTAAATCTAGATTCCCGAATTTCCAGAACTTCAAATTTTTATAAATTTCTAAATTTTAGCAATTTTCGATTTTAAGATTGTGAGTGTGTCCTTACTTCTATTAACTCAATGAATGCTAAAGTTTGAGCTCAATTATCTCGGTTCCTATAAGAGATTTCAAGAATCTGTCAACTGATAAAATGTTCCTAATAGTATCAGTAACATTTTATCTGTTGACAGATTAATGAAATCTTTCAAAGGAGCCGAGATGATTGAGCTCAAAATGCAATTACTAGAGATGGCGTCTTTTCGAGCAGTAAAACGGTACATTTCCGATTAACACTGCTAACTTTGAGCTCAATTATCTCGGCTCCTGTAAGCTATATCGAAAATCTGCCAACTGATAAAATGCTGGTGACATTATGATAAACATTTTATCAGTTGAGAGATTTTTGATATCTTTCATAGGAATCGAGATAATTGAGCTCAAATTTAGCATTTCCAATTATTCAACTTACCACTTTGCTCTCAAAAACCTTGGTCTCATTATCCCACTCGATATCGGCATCAAAGTACTGCGCCGTCTTATTCAACCTCTCGGCCACATACATCACATGTCCTTCTCCATAACTAAAATGAAGACAGCTGAATGGTTGACATCCACCGCCATGAATCACTCCGTGCTTCTTTTGGGTCGTCAGGTCTGAGCAAAGCTCTTCGCAGTGCTCTTCCATATTGTAGATCTTCAGATATTGCTTCTTGTCGTCGCCGGTTCCAGTCGTCAAGAGTTGAGCAACACGGCGATTCGAGTGAGAGTACACTGAGCGTTGGTTTCTGCAAAAAAAAAAGGGGCGGAGCTTAAGCTTGAAAGTCCTTTTTTTTTTGGGTTCAAGGCTCTCAAAAAAGGGGCGGAGCTTAGATTTGAAAATCCTTATTTTTGGATTCCAAGCTTTTCAAAAAAGGGGCGGGCGGAGCTTAGCTTCGAAAATTCTTAGTTTTGGATTCCAAGGCTTTCAAAAAAGGGGCGGAGCTTAGAATCGAAAATTCTTTTTTCTGGATTCCAAGGCTCTCAAAAAAGGGGCGGAGCTTGAATTTTCTGAAATATCCAAAAAAGTTGCTCTTTTTTCGTCAATTCCAACCATCTTTTAGGATGTCAAAAGGGGCGGAGCTTAGGAATAAACTTGAAAATGTTGTATTTTCAGCGGTTTTCCGGTTTTTAGAGCTAACTTTGGGGTATCAAAAAGGGGCGGAACAAGGTAAAAATTTTGGGATTTTCAACATTTTTCAGTGATTTTTTCACTCAATTTTCTTCAAATTTCCCCCAAAAAGTGGGCGTGGCTTACTCATAATTGCACATTGGCATCGCCACGGAGCTCATCAGGTAGCGATCGGTGACTTCCGGTCCACGACTCCCAATGATGCTGACACGTTGCTGACGGGTCGCCTGATTCAGTGCCATCGCACGGTTGTCCCATGTTGTTGTCACCTTTAATTAGGGGGTAATTAGGGATAATTAGGGGTAATTATGGGTAATTATGGGTAATTAAGGGTAATTAAATGTGATTTTTCCGATTTTCTGGCTAAAATTCGACGATTTTCAGACATTTCACACGCAAAAAAGTTGATTTTTCAGACTTCAAAATTCTGAACATATGGTTTCTTTTGTAATTTTTTGGATTTTTGACCGATTTTTAGGTCATTTTAATCAATTTTTTTGGAATTTCTACCAATTTAAAGCTAAATTTCCACATATTTACTTCAATAATATCGCCATCTCCCTTAGTTTTATTGATTCTTCCTTGACTTGGAAGTGGAATTTGTGCCAAATCTCCATACAAATCCTTCAGTGTCAACAGAGCCTTCACATCGTATTCGGCAGCGCTTGTGGCTGTTGTAGTTGATGACATCCTTCGGAAGACGTGACGAAGAAGACGCTGCATTTTCGGAAAAATAATTAGAGAACAATTTGAAGGGAAACGGAGGAAATTGGAGGAAAAATTGCAAAATTTGGGAACAGAATAGGTTACAAATCCTGAAATTCGACCAATTTTGGGGACCATTTCAGGCCGATTTTGGACCATTTTAGACCATTTTTGGAACATTTTAGATCAATTTCGGATCATTTCAGGCCAATTCTGGATCAGTTTGGATTAATTCTGCACCATTTTAATCCAATTTTAGACCACTTTAGGTCGATTTTGGATCATTTTAGACAAATTTTTGATCATTTTAGGCCGATTCTCACTTGAAAATAAAATTTTTTCGAGTGGAAAATTGAAAATTTCCGTTGTGAAAATCGTTGTAAAAATAATTAAGAACATTATTAATCTTTTTTTGAGAGAAAATTTTGAAGATTTTTCTGTGTTTTTCAGTTAGAAACGTTGCGAAATTTTAAAAAATCCTTTTTTTTTTACAAAAAAAAGTTTAAGTTTTTGCTAAGAAAACCCGATTTTTCGGAAATTCAGTCTCCGAAAAAAGTAGAAAATGAGAGAAAGAAAAACGGGGAAACGAAATTTTGCAATAAAAATTTTATGAGCAAAAAAATACAAAAAAATTGCGAAATTTCTACATAAATGTATACTTTTTTTCGGCAAGAATTTTTGATTTTTAGCTGAAAATCCTAAATTTTTAGAGAAATACAATTCTAAAAAACAGAAAAAATCCGGGTGACAATACAACCCAAAAAAAGCAAAAAACGCCAAACAAGACAAGAAAAAATTTGGAAAATGACCCAAAAAAAAATGATTCGGGTCACATGAATTTCATCATTTTCTGTGTCCACATGTGTGGAAAGAAAAACGAAAAGATACAATAAAAATCAACAAAACAAACACACAACAACAATAACAAAAGCGCCAAAATAAGTGATTTTTCGAGGTAGTAAAAGATCAAAAATTTCAGAAAAATGGGTCTGAAAACACTGGAAAATGGGGGAATCGGGTGAAAAAATGGCCAAAATGGGAATTTTTGTTCAAAAATTGAGAAAATGTGGTGTAAATGAGTCTGAAAATGCTGGAAAAATGGGGGAAATTCAGTGAAAAAAGTGCCAAAATTGACAAAAAAAAGGGAAAATTAAATTGCTAAAAATCACTGAAAATATGGAAAAAAAAGACATTTTTTAGGATAAAAAAGGTGCCGAAAATGGGTTTTGTGTTGATAAATTTGTAAAAATTCTGAAATAATTGGTGAGAAAAGTGTCAAAAAATCATAATTTTGTTGAAAAATAGGCGAAAAAATAGAGAAAATTGTAGGAAATTGACAACAAAAATGAGAAGAAAAAAAGCCCTTTTTAAGCTTAAAAAGTGCCTAAAATGGTCATTTTTGTTGAAAGATTGGTGAAAACTGTAGAAAATTGAATAATTGATGAAAAACACTGAAAAATGTGGAAAAAATAGCATTTTTAGGCCAAAAAACATAAACTTAAAAAATCAAATTTCCTCAATTAACGGCTTCTTTGCTCCCATCGTCACGTCTTCTGAATCCTTCACCTGAAACGCCGTGGGCAGAGATTCCACGTCCTGAACACTAACATCCCGCCCATCTACAGCACTATTCTTCTCTCGAAACACATCCAAATCGATTTCGATTCTGGATTTTTGAGATTCTGCTCCAGATTCTGAATCCTTCGCGACGTCTTCTAAATCCGAATCTGAATCACTGGAGTCGTCAGAAGAGGATTCTTCGACTGTATCGATTTGAAAGGCGTCTGCTGTGGCGCCCGCCGGCATATTCTGATTCGCTTCTTCCATTTGTGGAAGGAACGTTCGTAGTCTGGAAAAAACAAAAATTCTGGAAAATTTTGAATTTTTTGTCAATTTTGTGGCCAATTTTGGCAAAATTTTTTTTGAAAAATCGAAAGAAAATCAAGCGAAAAAATTTTTAGCCAGGTTACTGTCAACAAAATTCCGCAAACACCGTGACGCGCAATTGCGGACATGATGGATTTTGGTCAAAATTAACAAATTTTGGGAATTTTTGTCGATTTTTCGACCTAAAAATTTCACAAAAATCCGAATTTTTTTAATTATTTCGAATTTTCTGCCAAATTGTTAAAATTCCCTTCGAAAAACTTGGAAAAATCTGAAATTCCGATGATCAAATACACTTTTAGTGAGATTACTGTCCCCAAAATTCCGCAAACACCGTGACGCGCAATTGCGGAATTGATGATTTTTGGTCAAAATTAACCAATTTTCGCCAATTTTTCGAGATTTTTAGACCAAAAGTTTTATTAACAAATTGATTTTTAAGTAAAAAAAAGCTGCGAAATTCGATTTTTTCCCCTAAAAATCCAAAAAAAAAACTCCACAAACCTTGACAACAGCGACGACTGCTCAACTGGCTGAATCTGGGGTTTTCCGTTTAGAAAATCGGAAATATTTTTCGATTCGGACATCTAAACATGTTTAAAAATAAAAGAAAAACAGAATTTCGCTTAAAAATACAGAAAAATATAAATTCTAGGTAGAAAAAACCAAAATTCCAATTCAATTTTTTGAATTTTTTCGACAATTTACAAGCCATTTCATTCGTTTTTTACACAAAAAATATCGGTGCACAGCACTAGAATAACCAGCCAAAAAAAAGTAGAATCGGGGAGGAAGAGCACAAATCACCAAGAAAAAATGAATAAATTAGTGGGGAAAAATCAAATTTGAAGACAAAACAAAAAATCAATTTCCTAGTCCTCCAAGTCGTGAAGACGTTCCAAATGATTTGGAGCCAGGATTTCAGTAGATTCATCGATATTGTCCAAAAATGTGAGATGAAGGTAGGCAGATGGCACCAGTCCAAGCTCCACCAACGCGACAGATTCATCGTCGACGTGCTGCTTGATACGGTCGTAGAGACGAAATTCAGAAGCGGCGACGGCGTCGGAGAGCACGCTTGCAACGAATTCTCGGACCGCCGAGAAGGGTTCGAAGACGTTGAAGACGCCCTGGAAATTTTGATTTTTCGATTTTTATGGGTTTTTAGGGCTGAGATTTTGGCTTTTTTCAATTTTTTTTTGGACATTTTTCAGCATTTTTAGATCCCCATTTTAGCAATTTTCGACTCAAAATTACAGATTTTTTAGGTTTTTCCAGCCAAAATTCCTTAATTCTCAGCCAAATCCTACCTGAACAGCAAGATTGCCTGGCAATCTGACACGGATCGCTGTGTATTTGTACTTGTTGTTGCTGGATTTCTCGTCGCGTTGGCGCATTTCTTTGGTACGGAGAGTTAGCATCTGGAAAATTGGAATTTATGGAGCAAACCTGTAATAGAAGGGCACTGGAATCATGAAAATTGGAGAACATTGGAGGATTCAAATTTTCACTATTTTCAGTCAGTTTTTAGGTCGATTTTCGCCTAATTGAGTCATTTTTTTGGAGTTTTTGGGCCTCCTTTTTTGTCAATTTCAGTTTATTTTAAGCCAATTTTTGTCCAAAGTTGGCTTTCAATCGCTAAAAAACGCAAAAATCCTTTAAAATTTTGATTTTTCTGGGATTTATCGAATTTTTTTTGCCAATTTCAGGCCAATTTTTGAGGTTTTCTGATCGATTTTAGCCAATTTCAAAGTTTTTTGATTAATTTTTAGCTTATTTTGAGTCATTTATGATCACTTTATACAGTTTCAAACTGATTTTTGACTATTTTCAGTCATAAAACTCACACTCTCCACCTCCTTGCTCTTATTCTTCTGCTCGGCCTTAATTTCCGCTGCCGATAAGTTATAGAATGCATCTGGAACCTTCGGAGCCTTCACCTCCTGTCCAAGTTTCAATTTGAAAACTTCCAAGTTCCTGGAAACTTTGATAGGGACCGCTTGCCCGTTTCTCAAAGCCTCTAAAGCTTCAATCAGGTGAAAATCCGTTTCTCTATCGAAAACCATCTGGGGCACGCCTTCAGAATTCGTTCTCTCCATGAATCCAACAGCTTCTAAGAAGGCACGTCCTCCAACCGGATTGATGACCCGGGTTAGAATGGCTTCATTGGTGAGACGAATCGTTTTGTATTTCTCCTCTCCTGGGTGCTCTAGAATATTCTGACAGAGCTTGCAAATCGTTTCAATCGCCTTCTCCTTGACTTCCCGTTGATTCAATGAGTAGAGCATCAACACTGCTGCAATCACCTTATCACTCTCATCTTCAGCCTCGGCGACTTGCTCCAGGAGGAAAGTTTTGATATCTTCCAGAAGCTCTGACTTGGTCCGAGCGTGCTCTTCTCCTAGGAGCTCTGAATAGTAGAGGATATTGGATATCACTTGGGAGTGATCCAGCTCCTGAGGCTCTGGTGGCCTAGAAGCCTCTGTAATCTTCAGCTCTTCCATCTGACGACGTTCGTCTTCTAACTGCTTCTTGGCCATCATCTGAATTCGTTTTTTGCTTGCATCCTGTGGAGGTTCTGTCTTCTGAAGACGTCGGAGGGCTGCTTCGGCCTGAACGTCACGATCCACCACACGGGAGGTCGAAGAGGAGGCTCCAGAAGATTCGGAGAGCTTCTGGCCTTCACCGCTATGCTTGAAATGGTTCTCGGTGCGCTTCTTGGCGAAGAACTTCTTGAATTTGTTCATTCTTCTTTTTCTGGAAAAGGAAACTGGGGTTTTTGGTTTGAAAGTAGGAAATTTGTCGATTTTTTGGGCATTTTTGTTTAAAATTTGAAGAAAAATGAGCTAAAACATCGAAAAATCATGAAAAATCTAATTTTTCAGCAAAAAAATTTTTTTTTTTGAAAATTCCGAAAATTTCCAAACTTTGAATTTTTTCAAAATGAGCTGAAAGAATCAAAAAAATTGGAAATTTTCAAAAATTCAGAGATCCAAAATTTTCGAAAATTTCAAAAAAGTCCAGAATTGAGTCATTTTACACAATTTCAGGCACTTTTTGGCATTTGTAAGACGGTTTTAGCTTATTTTCAGTCATTTTTTGGCGAAATTTGGCTTTCAGTCACCCAAAAATGCAAATATCTCAAATTTTTGAATTTTATGAAATTTTTTATATTCCTGGAATTTTCGGTTTATTAATTTCTGGATTTATCTGTATTCTCGGATTTTTTGAACCTTTACGAATTTGTCATTTTTCCTATTGTTGCCAATTTTAGGTCGATTCTGGGTCGTTTTTGTCGATTTTGGCACATTTTCGGTCAGTTTTAGGCCATTTTCAGCTCATTTTAAGCCTATTTTTTATCATTTTTCCCCTACTAACTATTCTTGTCGCTAGTCTTGCTTCTAGCCTTCTCAATATACTCTTTAATGATAAACTCCTGAATAATCGGCGAGTAGCGATTCCACGCGACTACAGTACCAATCGAGAAGACGATGAGCAGAAATGTGAGAAATAGTCCGAGAGCGACCTGGAAAATAGGGATTTTCAGACAAAATTTTTCAAAAAATCGATTTTGAACGAAAAAGTTTAAGAAAATTCCAATTTTTAGACCTGAAACACGCACTTGCTTCTTATCCAACGAGTAGGTGTCGCAAAAAATAATCAGCGCGCGATAGATGCTCTCAACGCTGAATTGGGGCTCAGAAGGCGTGGAAATTGAGTCAGAATTCTGATAGGCCACTGAATTTGTGCTGCTCAGCGGCGTTTGCTCGGTTGTCGTCGGCTCGGCGACCACCAACGGCTCTCCCATGCAAGAATTTTGAGAAATTTGAGCTGAAACTTTGAATTTGAACTTTTTTGGCGAAAAAAAAAATTTCGCAGCGAGAAAACGAAAATAATGCGTTTTAGAAACAAAAATCGCTCTTTTTAGGCTAGAAAATCGGCTGAAAAGCTTAAAAAACAAACAAAAAAAATTTTCTTTCGAAATTTTTTTTCAGAAAAACCAAGTTTTATGGGCTCAAACTTTGTCAATTTCTATAAAATTAAGTTTATTTCAACGCTTTTTTATTTTTTCATCAAAAATTTCACCAAAAAAACCCCGAAAAAACCCAAAAAAGAAGGAAATTTAACTGAAATTCTGCTCTGAAAATCCAGCAAAACAACTGTTGTCAAATATGGTGCCTTGTCCGCAATTACGTAAGAGTCATGCGGCGATGTTGCGAAATCGAAGCCACGCCCACTTTTCCATGCCGCGGCCACATTTTCGTCGATAAATTTCCCTTGTTTTTCTCTTGAATTTTCGATTTTTCCTTGAATTTTTGAATAGATTTTTGATATTTATCGATTTTATGCCTAGTTTTTGAGATTTAGGATCTAAAAATCGAAAAAATTGAAAAATTTTGGTATAAATTTGATGTATTTGGGACTACAAAAATAAAAAATGGATTTTTCGAAAATTTTAATGTTTCGAAATCGAAAAAATTGATAATTTTTGGGTTTCGCAGCTGATTTTCAGCAAAATTTTCTTGAATAATTTTGATTTTTGTGTAGATTTTCGAAGTTTCGCAATAATTTTTTTCGATGTTTTTTCAGCTGGAAAATACAAAAATATGCTGAAAAATCGAATTTTTCACCCGAATTGAGTTTTTTTTTGTCATTTGCAGGCTCTTCGTCGCTTATATCCTCATTTTTGGTATCCTAACCTAATTTACTAATTTTCCAGCCCTCAACAATGCCGAAGAATAAGGGAAAGGGAGGAAAGAATCGTAGAAGAGGAAAGAACGAGAATGACTTCATGAAGCGTGAGCTCGACCTGAAGGAGGAAGGACAAGAGTACGGACAAGTGTCCAAAATGCTCGGAAACGGTCGTGTCCAAGTGTTCTGTTTCGACGGAAAGCAACGAGTGTGTCACATTCGTGGAAAGCTTCGGAAGAAGGTCTGGATCAATGTGGGTGACATTATATTGGTCGGTCTTCGTGACTATCAAGACGACAAGGGAGACGTCATCCTGAAGTACACTCCAGATGAGGCACGTCGTCTGAAGAACGAAGGATTGATTCCAGAGAATGCCAAGTTGAATGAGAATGATGAGCAGGATGAGGGTGAAGTGGAGTTCTGTAAGTTATAGAATTAGGGCTATCAGTTAAAAATATCGAGTTTTTTTTTCAGTGGATCACGTCGGAGAGGACGCTGAATCTGGAGACGAGGCCGCTTCTGACAAATCATCGTCGGACAGCGATTCAGACAAATCTGACGAGGAATCGGAAAAGGAAGAAGAGTCGGAGGAGGAGTCAGAAGAGGAATCTGATGAGGATTCTGACGATTCTGACAATGTTCGGGAAGAGGATTTGGCTGCTGGACGTGGATTCAAGGAGGACACCCGTCGTGGAGGAAACCGAGGTGGAAAGAACAAGTACGGAAAGAGACGCTAGATAATTTTTGCTGATTTCCGCTGACTTTCCCCTCAAATTGACCCAAATTCCTTGTTTTTTTTTCTGATTCTATTCTCTTTCTTTCTTTTTTTGTCTCGTTTTTCTTTCTAAAAAAGTATTCCTTTCCTGTCGATCCCCCGCCCCCCCCCCCCCGCAATTTATTGCAAATTTTTTTCCGTCCCCCACTTTATTTATAATATGATTAAGATGAATTTGTTTTCAGAACTCATTTGAGGTTTTCAGCTATTACAGGTGAAGTCGCGGCAATCCGGGATCAGGTCGATGGAGCGGGATTTCAGTGGAATAAGAAATACTTCAACTGAAGATACAACTTCTAGCAGATTCTCGACACAAGTCTGAAATTTTAATATAGTCTTGAAATTACCGGAATTTCCAAAAAATCAGAAAATTTCAAACATTTTTGATATTTTTCCGATTTTCTGGACATTTTCGTAAAGTAAAATTTGGACGAAAATGTGAAAAATCGATTTTTCAAAGAAAAAAAATGAAATTTTGAAAAAAATTAGCTGAAAAAATTACATTATTTCAAAAAATTCCATAAAATCGTTTTTTTCATTCTTTTATATGTCAATTTTATGTCAATTTTGGGGCTTTTTATTGAATTTTAGTCATTTTCAAGTCAAAATTCACCTTAAATTGCTCAAAAATTCACAATATTTCAAAATTACGGAATTTTTGAAGTTTGGGGTTTTTGCATTTTTTTGATCATTTTCAGTCTTTTTTGACAATTTCAAATCGATTTTTGACGATTTTCGGACATTTTTTAGCTTGATTTTATTCATTTTCAGTGATTAATTGCCTTGAGAGTATTGAAAAAGGCGAAAAGACCTGAACGTTTTGAAAACGGATGATTTCACTGAAATTTAGTGTTTTTTGACGAGATAGCAATGTTTTTCAGGTTTCCGAGAACGTGGAATTTGTTTCTATGCTTTATTCTTCCGAAAAAAACGCTGAAAAACTGATTAAAAACGGTTGCAAACTGATAAAAATGGGCTGAAAGAGTTTGCGTTAAACAACGCGTGGGTGCGGAGTGTCGTTTGTAATGCAAAGTTTAGTGGGCGGCGCAAGTCGCGAGATGTCGGCTGCTGCGCAACACCCCCTCTTATAAGCGCGCGTGTTTCAGGAGGTTTTCGGTTGAAATCATGTTTCGTTGAAAGACTCTCGATGATCTCCATCGCCACTAACGTGGTGGCCGGGGTAGTAGGGGGCAGGTGCCAGGCGCCCCTCTGTGGTCTTTCTGGATTCGTGAGGGAAGCCCCCGAGATCTACCATCTCGTCCCGCGTCACGTCCCGCGTCAACGTCCCGATGGGGATGGTATTCCAAAGTTGCCCATGGGCCTCTTTCTCAGGGTGGTGGGATTCTATTTGCAATGATGTATTAAACGTTTTATTCAAAAATTTTTTAAAACTTTTTATTCAAAATTGGTTTTTAAACTTTTTATTCAAAATTGGTTTTTAAACTTTTTATTCAAAATTGTTTTGAAAACTTTTTATTCAAAATTGTTTTTTAAACGTTTTATTCAAAACCAGCAAGCTTTTTTTAATATATTTTTTCGAATGTTCGTCGCTTCGTTTCTCACTTTTTCTAAACAAAAGAGACAAGTAAATATATATGTATTTTTCAATTTTTTCAAAAGTCCACAGACGGACACGAGGACGGACAGACGCCTCTAGCGTTTTATTAATAAGGAATTTTTTTTAAACTTCTTATTCAAATTTTTTTTTAACTTCCTATTCAAAAAATTTTTTAGAAAACTTCTTATTCAAAAATTTTTTTAAAAAACTTTTTATTCAAAAATTCAGAAATTTGACAATTCGGAAGTTAAAAATTCTGAAATTCAGAGTTCTGGAAAATGCGAAATTTTCACTCTGCCATCCTGAATTTGGAAGTTCCGAATTTATGAAATTACCAAATAAAAAAATTACCAGAATTCAAATATTCTATTTATAAAAAAATACGACGAAAATTCAAAAAAAATCCAAAAATTCGATAATCACAAAACATCACTTCCAATCTGCCTCGATTTCTTCAATATCCTCCACAATCCCTCTTGCTCTATCCACCAATTCATCACAATTCCTCTCAACGTCTTCTGGTTTTCCAAGTGTTCCATCCCGATATAATTTAATATAAACACAAATTCCAAAAAGTGAGAAATTGGAAGCAAATGGATAAATTAGTCGATATTGATTGTTTAGGTCATCCAGAGAATACGGTGGATTTCCATTGAAGAATCCAGATAACTTCTCATGGTAGTACTGTAGATATTCGGTGGTTTTTTGAATTCTAGTTTCCCGAGAAAGGCCCAAAGTCAGGACTCGGACCAAATCTAAGGCTACGGAACCGATAAGGACCATTTGAAAATCGATAATTGCTCCGATTTCAGAATTTGAATTTTGGGTCTTCCAGAGCATATTTGTGACGTTGAGATCAGCATGACAGATGATTCCAGGGATTGCTGGAAATTTTGGAATTTCACAATATTAGAACTTCAGGATTTCAGGATTTCCTCACCATCTACGGCTTCCCTGGTTGCCTTATTCTTATTCTCATAGTCGAATGCCCATTGGATTTTTTGAATTCGTCCGTTACCGAAAACTTCTGGAGCCATGGTTCCGAGAAGTAGAGATTCTTCGAACTGCAAACATTGACTTTTTTGGTTTTGAAACTATCAATGTTTTAGAAAAACCGGATTATTTTCAAAATTTTAGGACTAAAATTGAGCATTTTGGATACATTTTTGAGACGGTAATTTTTTGTTTAAATCAATATTCTTATTGTCTATTCAAAATAATCGCGCGGGTGAACGAGTAAAAAAACGTGTAGAGAGTCTCCAAACCTGTAGAGGCGCTGTAGAGACGCAGACATTTTTACTTGTTCACCCGCAACATTATTTTGAATAGACAATACAAATATTGGCTGGCTATAGAACAGAAAATTGCCTCAACAAGAAAAAGAAAAAGGTTGCACGTTTAGAGAAACCGAAAAAAAAGTTTTTTGTGAAATTCGAGTTATGGTGTCTTCGAATTTGAATCAACCAGAAAATTTACAAAAAAATGAAATTGAAATTAAGAATAGAAAACAAAATAAATTGTAACAAATTCAGTTGATTTTAGTTGAACAAGAAAGTCCTGAAGTGGCCGGTTCAAAAATGTCTTCAGACATAGGAAAAATTACAATGTTTCAGAACTGTCATAATTTTTTTCAAATGTCGGAAACTATTAATTAATTTGTAGAAAATTCTCATTAATTCCGATTATTTTAGAGCCAGCTTTTTAATTTTTTTTTTTTGAAATTTAAGAAACTTTTGCTTGTTTTGTTTTACTTAACTCCGCCCCTTTTTTACTATTTGCTCGGAATATTTTTACGTGGAAAGTTTGAAAGGGGCGGAGCCTAGTCTACAATAGCCACCTTCTGAAACTGGTCACCAATTACAATTTGTTTGGAAATGACTAGTTTCTAAATGTAAAACCTTTTGAAACATTAAAGTATCTTAATAATTTCACTGGAAATTGAAAAATATCAATGTTTCAAAATTATGAAAAAAATCTATTTTTCAGATAATATGTAATGTCTCTTAATTTTAAAATAGCTGTTTCAAGAACTCTATAAAGAATTTCCCGTTTTATTCATTTTTCAATGCTCGTGCCATTCTATTTGTATGACTAAAGTTCCTTTATTGTGACTAACCCTTGAAGAGACATAATTTTTCAATTTTTATATAACGTTTCACAAAGTCTATAACGAGAAAGCTTAATTTTGAAACCCATGTTATGTGGATGATTACAGTTTCCATTTTCAACTCGCCAATGAACCTTGAACTATAGAACACAACCTTGCGCTTTGAGCTTTATTATCTCGGTTCCTTTAAGAGGTATCAAACATTTGTCAACAGATAAAATTTGGGTGATAGCGTGATAAACATTTTATCAGTGGACAAACTTTTTATATCTTTTATAAGAGTCGAGATAATGACATATTCCCACCACTCACCATCATTTTCTGCATCCCCACTGAATAAGTCTCTCTTCCATGTGCACCTTCTTCAAAACTCTTCACATAACTCTTATCCTCTCTTTGAATCAAATGACTATGAAATCCTGCCAACGCCTCCATGAGTCTTAGAACTTGCTCATGACTCAATCCAGGAATGTGCTCCACTGCGAACACTTTTTCACTCAAATTTTCAGCAACAATTCCTCCGGTGGCTTCTCTAGTGATATCTTCAGTGAAATAGACTTTGGGAAATGGGAAATTTGGAATCGAATCGTAGAGAAAGTGATGGTAGAACAGGTTTTCTTTCTGGAACGGATTGAATAAGCAGCATTGATTGAACATTAAAGTTATAATTTTTTGCATGACTTGGAAACAGAAATTATTATTCTGGCAGATTCTTCACAGAAAATTAGTCATTGCCACCTTCGATCTAATTTATCTCGCTTCTTGTGAAAGATATCAAAAAGTAATAAACCGATAAAATAGTTCTGAAATTACAATAAACTTTTTTCAGTGAGATCACTTTTTGATATCTTTCACATAAACAAAATCTAGGTCATGACCTAAAAAAAACAAACCTTTGAATAATAAACCAGAACATTATGAAGCTCATTCACTGCTGACCCATCCTCACATTTCAGCACGTTCTCGCTGATTCGAGGAATCTGAAAGAAGAATTGGAACTTACAGTAATCTTTAAAAAATATTTTAAAAAGTTTCATAAATTTGAACTACCGCCGAAACTTCTGATTGTGAAAGTTAAATAGGGCAAATAGCTAGAAAATTCTGTTAGGAATTTTCTACGAATATTCGCTACTGAAGAATTATCATTTGACACTGAAAGATGATTTTCAGAACTTTTTGAAACAGAAACTTTGAAAAAATTTCAAAATCTTTCACCTTTATAAATACAGTATCCGGAATTTCCAATTTCTCCTCCACCACGTCTTCTTTAACTTTCAGATGAACCAAATAAATTTCAGACCAAAAACTTTTGGCGTTCTCCAATTTTTCATATTCTACAGTAATCTTTTCCAAGAAATTTGGAATTTTTGAAAACGAGTTTTCAACGAGCCGGTTCAAATGCTCCAAGCGGGAGGGTTGCATTCTGGAATTTCAGAAAAATTGAAACAATTTAAAAGGAAGTTTTGAAAATTGAAAAAAGGACAATGGAAATTTTGGTGATAAGAAGTTTATATAGAGGATTCTGATAAGAGAAAACTGTCAAATTCCGTTTCTGATCGTTTTCAAATAAATGTCGAACCAAATAGTTTTCAATCAATGATCAATTTTTAGGGCTACGTGCTAATTTGATAAGAATATCTAGACACGGAAGTATCAGTTTCCGTTTAGAATAAAAAAGATATCGACGACAATCGAAAAGAAATCAAACTAGAGAAAAAACACACGAAAAAATAAGAAAAAAAAGGGAAAAGCCACAAACAGGACCGAACCCCAGACCTTCAGCATAGGGACGCACACCACATCCCCGACACCACGTTGCCGTTTTTAACTAGACGGAAAGAAGGCGGTTAAGTGTGTGCGGTTTTCTCCTTTTGCCGCGAGTTCGAGAAAGGGGATGGTGCGTGTGGTAAAGAATGGAAATCAACCATTAAAAGTCAGGAATACAAAAAAAACTAGAAAATGATGTGAGGATTTTTAAAAAATTGGAAAAAACATATAGATAGATCTACAGTAAGATATCCTGAAAGTTTCATCGAATTCTGAGGCTCTTTTAGAGAAAAAAAAAGAAAATGTAATGTTTAATGCCAAAACAAAAATGAATTTGGAACCAAACAGTACTAAAACGTTTTTTTTTAAATATAGACTTAAAACAAATGTTTGCTTAAACATGACTTTTTTATAGATCAACAAGTTGAAAAATCAATTTTAAAGAGAAAAAAGGTTTTGTAGTTTGACAGTAGACAAATAAGTTCAAAGGCAAACGATTAGTTTTTGATAAAAGTTGTTTGAAAAATAAATTCAACTGAATTAAGACAGATATCTGAAAAATCTGAAATAGATTTTTTTAAATTCAAATTCAAACTTTTTTTAAATCACATACTTGGACAAATAACTAAAAAAACAACTTTGAACAACAAACCAGATCGTTTTGTTGGCTTATGCAATTGAATTTCATTGACAGAGACCAAAATTTGAATACCCATAGTTTTTTTAAATTTAAATTTCCTCTCCCCTTCCCTTCATCGCTCCTTCCGTCTCCCTCAACCCCTCTTTCTTATACGCCATCCCCCTCCCCTCACCACCGGTGGTCTCGTGGTGTAGTGGTTATCACATCTGTCTAACACACAGAAGGTCGGTGGTTCGAGCCCGCCCGAGATCAGTTTCCTTTTTTATTTCCTTTTTATTTTGGTTTTTTACAAGGGAAACTCTTCGTTTTCACGTCATCTCGGTTTCTGTCATCCATTGTTTTCGGTCTTACCTTTACATAATAACTAGAAAGTGGAAAGTGTTTATTACACATACAGTATCTCTAGAACGCCTTCAGCACCTAATTACATCTGCGTCTCTCCAGTTTCCATGTTCTCTTATATTCCTAAAGGGACCAGGGACCTTGGGATCACGCAAAATGGGTCTAATCGGTCCCAACCTTCCCCCAAGGCTTGTGTAGGCGGGATGGGGAAAGTCTTATAAAATCTTCTGGTCTGTTTTGCGTCGTACATCCCGTAGTCAGATAGACTAGTCGATAATTTTGTTAAAAAGTCGATATACAGTATCGGTCGAACGTTTATTCATTGATTTATCTTCTTTTTACCTTCTTTTTACTTTCATTTCCTTTACTATAAAACCTGTAATACAAGAGCTTTCTAACTATTAACTTTGACCCAATTTATCTCGGTTCCTGTAAAAGATATCAAAAACTGTTCAACTGATAAAATTTTCATCATAATCTGAGAAGTATTTTACCAGTTGTCACTTTTTTGATAGCTCTTACAGGAACCGAGATACATTGACTCAAAGGTAAGTCGCCCTTCTTTACCGGTTTCCCGGTATTTCCAATTTTCTCTATTTTATCGAATTCAACAATTCTTTTTGGTTCTAGATTTTTTTAGGTCATAGCCTGATTTTAGGTCATGACCTAGAGTTTTTTAATGTCATTACCTAAATTTTTTGACTTCATGACTTAGATGTTTTAGGTCGTGGCCTAGATTTTCGAGGTCAAGACCTAGATCATGACCTAGGTTTTTTAAGTCATGACCTAGATTTTTTGAAGTCATGACCTAGATTATTTAGATCATAACCTAGATTTTTCAGGTCATGACCTAGATTTTTTAGGCTTTAAATTTTTGTAGTTGACAACTTATTTTTACGTTTTTTCACGCTTGAAAGTTTCCCGACTGTTTCTGCTGGTTTTTTGGCATTTGCTTGGTTTCAACTATATTTCATTTGAATGAATTTCTACAAAAAAGTTGTCAACTACAAAATTAAAGCTCTATTTTCGATTAGTATATACTGAAATTTTCAGACAAGTTGATCGATTGTGAACTACTTTCGTAGAGCTTCGAATTTAGCATACTTCACTTTTTGTTATTTCGCATGTTTTATTCCCATATCTAACCGTTCAACTAACTTTTGGCGCACTCAAATTTTCATTTTTCGAACATTTTTAGCTCACATTTTTCAGTAACCCAATGAGCATCATGATGAACACCAAGCCAGTCACCTACGTCAGTTTGAAAAAAGTTCTATGCCATACGGAACCAAATTTGAGGTTAGATAGTAATTTTTTAACTTTTCCTAAAACTCAAAGTTTATAGATTCCAAATATCCACCCGTATGCCATCAATCCGCCAAACAGAAAAACGGGTCCCACTGAAAATCGAGACTCTGGCCCTCCAAGAATTTAAGACTACTGTAAACGGCACATCCTATGAACTAGGAGTCTATCGTGACTTCCACCCAGATGCGGTTGTCGCTGACCAGATAAAGAGAGAAAACGAAAACGGAGGAGTCAAACATGATTTAGACGAGTATGGATTCAAAGTTAACCCATTCTCGACTCCAATTTTCCCAGGAGACATGGATTTCCGTAATGGGCAATCTCCAAGTTTTGGGGATGATCTTCCAGAAGATTTGTATAGACACGAGTTGAAAATGGCAGAGGAGGCGTTGAAGAAGTTGGAGGAGTTGGAAGCCAAAGGGATTACTGTGGAGGAGTACCTACAGACGGCCCAAGAAGAGGTAGAAGGAGACGTCAGACAATACATCGCAGATGGAAAAGAGTATGTGCAGAGGACTATTGAGCATGCTCGAGCTACACTGTACCCTTACGACTGCCGGAAAAACGATGAACGTCCTCCATACACCCCGTACATTCAATTGACGGTTTCTAAAAATTGGAAACAAGAGATTCAGAGGACTTCATACGATAGGAAGCTATATGAAGCTGCCAAACAAGTCAACCACTGGTTTTTCGCAAATCGGGGAATAATTCGAGTCAACCAGTTGAACGTACTGAGCCATGGAGAAGTTTGTCGCTTGCCGATCGGGCTCCAGATTTGTGCTAGTATTGTGACTGGATATGAATGGAATATGCTTCCAATTAGCTCAGTTTTGACGCCTTATTGCCAGACAGTCAGAATTCGAAGCATTGCATCATTGAATTGTGATTCTCCGGTGGTCCGCAATGCTAAAATCCTGGAAATCAGCACTGAGAATCTTATGTGGCCTACGACAAATCTCCATCAGCTGCCAAATCCACAAATCGAGTTATCCTATCCATACACCGATCAAATCACTACAGCAAATTACTTTGATCGGATCACCGAATGGCTATCGATTGATCGATTCATTGGATCCAAACTTTCAATAATGCTTGATACAGAAGATGCTGGAGAAAAGGTTCTGGAAATGGCGAGAAGCAGCAGCAGTGAGCGGGCTAATTGTAGAAGCTTTAAAAGGTAAAATCAAGAAAATCTATAAGTTTTCAAGTTGATGTTTTCAGATGTGTTAGAGTTCGTTGGCAAAACGGAAAGGATATTCGAATCTGCTATGTGAAGAACAAGAAGAGATCGCAATTTGAATGGATTCTGAAAACTAGGATCATCAAAGCCGAAGCTTGATTCTCAAATTTCAATTTCATGTCTCCTTCCCCTCTCCGTCACCCTCTCTAACCCCTCTTTCTTATACGCCATCCTCCACTAGTCTCTACCGGTGGTCTCGTGGTGTAGTGGTTATCACATCTGTCTAACACACAGAAGGTCGGTGGTTCGAGCCCGCCCGAGATCAGTTCCTTTTTTTTATTTTTTTTAAATGACTTTCTTTGTTGGATCGGGAATAAAATTACTTTTTCTTTTTTTTTGTATTTTTTTGCTGCCCATGAAGAGTCCTGAAGAAGTCATAAAGAAACAGACAAACATGGGAACTGATGTGAGTGCAATCGAGCTACAGAGAGAACACCAGTTCATAGGCAAGCGAGAAGAAGACGAGGGACAAGAAAATCAGAAGAGACGACAGAATGGAAAGACAAGGGTAGCCTCCCTTCGTCTTCCTCATTGTCATACGCGCGTCTGTTTTTCTTGCTATATTCGTTTTGGCTAAAAATTGGGAAGTTTTCATCAGAATTTATAGCACTTTATGAGCCTTCCTTAGCCGTTCGAAAACCACTCTTATATTTTAACCCTCCCCTTTGATTATTCATTTCATAGCTTAAACAATATACCCGATTTCCGCTTCTGGCATTCATTTCTCTTCCCATTTCCCTCTTTCTCTGTGTCCTCTCCTCGGAACATATTATTGTTGTCCGAAAAAATTGGAGTTAGAGAGTATTTTTTGCGGCCTGAATACGGTAGGTACCTCGAAGCGGCAAGCCTAAATAGCACATACTCGGTGGAGACGCAGAGAAATATTTCGTTTAACTGTCTGCGTCTCGACTCCAATTTTTTTCGCACAATAATAATAGTTCTCTCCTTTTTCTTTGTTTTTATTTCGTCACCTACAAGCCCTCTCGCTTTCTTTTCATATTTTACTATATTCATCACTGAATTGTTTTCAGATGCCCATTGCTCTCCTCAAGTTTCCATCCGATCTTCTCCGAGAAGTTTTCAAACTATGCGAGCCATACGAACTGTAAGTCACTTCAAAAACTTTATCCAAAAATGTTATATTTCAAGATATGCATTATCGAAATGTTCCAAACGGACTCAAAGATCGATAAAGTTGTGCGGTACGAAAAATTGGAAAATCGTCTACTTTAGTGGCGGACAGGTTATTATAAGTGTAGATGGTTCGTGGCACTACTTCAACCGAACTTTCTACCCAGACGAGTATTTTAAAATGAAATATTCGCAAATTGAGTTTCCGAGTGGAGGATCTGCCGATTTGTTTTTTTTTATTTCATCGACACTTTTGGGATTCGCATCGTTCAAACGCTGGGGAGTGAGTGGGGCAGTTTCGATGATTGTTCGAGAATAGCAAACGTATTGATTGAGAGGAGCATGGAAATTGAAACATTCTTTATTAGTCACATTGAAGATGTTGCCTTGATGAACCTGATGAACATCACGAAAGAGTTTACATCTTTCTTCAAGTTTCCGTCAAACTTCAGGCATCAGTTTACCAAGTACCCAAACCAGATTTCTATACATCGCTCTTCCTGGTTCAATATTGGTCAATTATTAGAATGCACCTGTGTTCGGATTGAACTTTCAGGTTCTATGAGGAGCAATCAGGATCTGAATGTGTTCCTTCAAAAATGGAAGAAGACAGGAGCATTCCCGAACCTCCAATTTCTTAAAATTAAGGGCAATAAAATTGATAACAAATCTCCCATACTAGAAATGATTCCCCAAATTAAGATTGTTGGAAATGCAACAATAAGACGATCGTAAGTTTTATACCCCAATCCTTCATACGTAATTGGACATTTTCAGATTTGTTAAGGATGAATTATTGAGGTTAGGTGGAGACGATATCGACAACGCCGTTCAAGTCACCAAAGACGACGGGACAGTGGGATGGCTGACTGTGGAGTTACGAGAGACGCCAACACTCAAATTTCTGACGTAAGATGTTATAAACCTTTCTAAAAATTCTGCATAGAACTGACAAAGTGGAAAGATGAAAAAAGTGGCGCTTACGAATTTAAAATCTTCCATGTCACTGTATGTCCTTCAGAAAATTATAGGATCCGAATTTCTCGGCTTTGAGAAAAAAAACTTGCTTCAGTAAGTACATGTTTTTGTGCTGGATCTAACAGTAATTGTAAGGATCAGACTCATTTAGTGTTTGAGAACATTCTTTCTATCATATTTTTATCAAAATTCTATCATATGGCTTAATTTTACACTCCGCCATTTTGGCTTAGTTTAAAAGCCCTCTCTATTGTATGTCCTGGGTGCGTGCCTAACTAGGGAACTATCTGGAGTCGTCTCCAATTTGAGATTCATGACATATACCATTAGAAAGCCCATAAAATTCTGATTCGGAATATATTTTCTTTTTTTGCTAAAAATCCGTGAGTTTCAAGAAAATTAGGTCGAAAGTTTTCATACTGAAACCTATAGATTTTGCATTAAAAATACAGATTTTTCATTGAAAATCGACGCGACGCGCGCGACACACTTATTTCGAAAAAGGAACAAATGTCGACAGTGGTTCGATGGTGCAGTGGTAAGAAGCGGGTTTACACAGGTCCTGGGCGCGCATACGCATAATGGATGGGCGACGGAGGACGCGCCGATGAATTGGGTACAGGGAAAGGACGTCGGTATGGGGCATATACGGGGCATATGGGGCACACCGCCGCCGCAAAGCATCTCCTCGCCTGGCTTGCTGGCACTCGATGAAATGAACTAAAACGTTGGTTGGGGGTTCCTAGAAGTATCAGTTAAGTTCTATTGTGATGTGATTTTGTTCAGGTCTTCCGATTTCGTACTTTTCCTTTATTATTCCATATTCTTTTATATTTTGAACGACATATTACTGATTTTTCGAAACTCAATGTTTTGGTTTTGAAAAAGACTTATGGCAGTTTCCATTTAAATTTGATATGCAATCAAAAACAGAACAAAATGGGAAAAAATTCGCTAAAAATTGTTTTTTTTTCATTTGTTCAAAAAATGTCTCACTTTCACTTTTTCTGAAATTGCATGAAAAATTGAAAATTTTTATAATTTAAACTTTGTAATTATTGTATACTTACCAACTTACCTTTTACTCCACCTGAAAATACGATTTTTACAATAACTACAAAGTGAAATAAAAAAATCTCAATATCACCTATTTTGGCGAAAAACATAGCAATTAACGAGTGAAAGACATGTTTCTGCAAGAATTCAGCGATTTTTTAGTCTGCCATAACTCTTTTTCACAACAAACGTCGAAGGAATAATCGAAAAACCAGAAATGTAGGCTCGAATTGACGAAAAATTGACAAAGTTGCCGGAGTGGATTTACGGTAAACAATGCGCGCATCCGGGATTTCGGAGTGTTGTAGTCGGCCTACCGTATCAGACCCATATCGCACACATCGCCCACCCACCTAGAATCCATCTAGTATACGCGCGCATTCGGAACACTCGATTCAGCCTCTCCCACATCGCACACATATGAGACTCATCGCAGCTCGTTGTTCGCGATATGTGTCAAACGGACTTCTAGAGGATCGCATATGGATCGGGTCCTTTATGCGCATCATCGCCCAGGACCTGTGTAGGAAGCGGGAAGTCTCTGGATCGATTCCTCTATGGGATATTAATTTTTATTTTTTTTTGTGTTACATTTTGCCTGATTTTTTGAGCTACAGATATGATATCTCGGACTGTATTGGGGAATGTTTTTCAAATGAATCAGAAACAAGCCAAACCCCGATTGAAATCAACTGAAAGCTACTTTTTGATCTAATTTTCTCGAAGCTCACGTACTTTTAGCAAAAAAAAATACATATTCCGAATCAGAATTTCATGGGCTTTCTAATGATATAGGTCATGAACTGTAACGCGGAGACGACTCCAGATAGTTCCCTAGTGTCAATGTCTAAATTGTAAAAAGTTATACGAAACTCAAAATTTGCAGTGCCAATCCAGCTGGTATTGTGGTGACAGAAATATAGGAAGACAAAGAACCAGAAGACGAGTGGCAACTAATTTTTCTCCAAGAAAATATAATATCTTAATTTATCGACATTCTTTGATTGTATTCGACGAGAGTTAGAATTTTTAATTTTCAATTTCATGTTTCCTTCTCCCTCTCTCACCTCCCCTAACCCTCTTCTTCTTATACGTCAACCCCCTTCTCTCTCTACCGGTGGTCTCGTGGTGTAGTGGTTATCACATCTGTCTAACACACAGAAGGTCGGTGGTTCGAGCCCGCCCGAGATCAGTTTCTTTTTTATTTATTTTTTCAAATAAAGCTCTTTATTGAACGCTGCAAATAAATATGCAAGTTCACTTCTTCATCTGCGAATTGTCGGTACTTTCAGAATCCTTTGTTTTCAACGGTGGAAGCAACACAAAAAGTTTCGAGTTCCATTCAGTGGGAATGCCAATCTCGTCAGTGGTTTTGCGAAATTCCACCAAAGATTCTCTGTAAGCAATTATTTTAGCAAATTCGAATTATTGAAAAATAGTTACGTCTTCTTTTTCTCCGGCTCTTTTCGATCCGATCCTTTTGTGGGCTCTTTGAGCACCGGATCCAGCTCTTTTCCATTTTTCAGAGCTTCCACACCTTCTTCACAATATTTTTTGACGTCTCCACAGAGTGAATAATTCGGACGATCGTTGGTTTTTTGGGCGGTCTGAACCAAAAGTGGGGGTTTGCAGTATCATTTCCTCTGGCCTAATTTTAGTGAAAATCGATAACTTTGAAGTCCTAGAATTAGTCTAGAATTATGGGATTCGTCTGAAAATGTCAGGGTATACTAAACAGAAATAGAGCTTTAATTTTGTATTTGACAACTTTTTCGTGCAGATTCACCCAGATGAGATATACCGCTTAGAAGTGTTACAACTACTGTTTCTAAGTTTTGGCACTTTGTTGGTTTTAAGCGCTATATCTCATTGGGATGAATTTGTACAAAAAATTTATCAACTAAAAAATTAAAGCACTGTTTTGCTTACATTAGTATATTCTGAAATTAACAAGCTACTCCACCCAAAACCCCGATTGCTCACCGCTAACTGTCCTCTGACCATATTCTTAAACTGATCCGTATCCGGATACTCCACAATCAACCGAACCCATCCATTCGCTTTACAACCATCGAGAATTCTGGTTCGAACGTCTTCCAAATTCGTCACGACGTTTTCGTCAACTGCCAGAATCGCTTCTCCGATATTCAAACTGATATGAGAGACAGAATCAGGCATCGTGTAATTGACAACGACTCGTTGACCGGTTTGTTGCATGTTCAAGCCTAGTTTTAGGTATTTGAATTGGTAGAGAAGAGCTAGGTCGAGATTGTAGCCGGGCGTTGGGGTGATGCCTGGAAAAAATTATTCCGAGTTTTTAAAAAGTATATTTCAGGATCAAAACTACCGTAACCTATAGAATAGTCATTCTTGTACTTTGAAGATAATTATCTCAGTAAAAGTAAAAGAATGTTTATCATAATATCAGTAACATTTTTGTAGTTTACAGATTTTTTTATATCTTTCACAGAAATTGAGATAATTGAGCTCAAAGGGCTAGTATAGATCGCATAGGAAAATTCTACTACTTCAAGTGCACATCAAATAGCAGAGAAACAATCCAAAAATATTAAACATCGAGAAAATACGCAAATTTTAGAAACCTCACCCGGCGGACATTTAAAAGTCCCCACTCGAGTCTTCAACCTTGCCACCGTAATCGTAATCTTCGTCTCTTTCTTCGACGCCAAAATCTTAGAAATCACACTTTTAAACTCCTGAGCTCCCGTCCAAAACGCGGGTTTCGCATCCTTCTTCTCTCCTTCCTTTCCTGTTCCCTTCTTTTCCGGATTCTTCTGTTTGCTTTGTTGACTCGTCGTCTTATCTTCCACTTGTCCCATTATAGTCTTCTCTTCAAAACAGACATTGGTCCCATTGACTGAAAGAAGAACGTCTCCTGGAAGAATCGATCCTTTGAATGGGCTCGCGTAGTTGACACGTGTCACTAGTCCGTGCCGATTTGAGATTCCGAGTGGCTGAAAATTTCAGAAGTTTTGCAATTTTTTTTTAGAAATTTGACCTCATTTCTTCCTTTCTTCGGAAGCTCATACGTCACCTCGACAAACAGTTTGTAGCAATTCGGAAGATAGTTATTCCGAAACATCAAAACATCCTTCACACGGGTTTCGATCTAAAAACTAGGGGTTACTGTACGTTTACCTTGATTTTCGGAGTTACGGTAAGAGATATCAAAAAGTAATAAACTAACAAAAGGTTCATCATAAGATTTTCTATATTTTCTTAGTTGACAGATTTTTGGTATCTCCTGTGAGAAGCAAGATAAGCTCCGCCCACTGAAGGGTGAGCAAGTCTGCAGCGCGCTTTACTGGTTACTTTACTTTAGATCCATTATCTCGGTTACGGTAAGATATATCAAAAAGTAGCCAGATGATAAAATATTAATCATACAGTTTACTACATTTTGTTAGTTGACTAGCTTCTGATATATCTTCTAAGAAGCAAGATAAAGGGGTGAATAGAAACAGTATGGAGACAATTGAAGCTCCACCCCCTTTTTGCGAGTCTGCGATAAGCTTGATTAGTTTCTCTAACTTTTTGAAGCTAAAAATTTCATCCTTGGCCTAACGAAATTTGATTTTTTTTTGCTAAAAATTCAATTAAATTGACTTTTTCGGATGGTTGTATGCATTTGGATTAATATTTGTGCTATTAAACACATATTGGCACATTTGAAAAGTAACATTTTCGAAAAGTTGTCCTATGCGGGTTTTAAGGCAAGCGGGCCGGCCCGGTCATCCACATGTATGCTGCAAAGAGTGGTTGCCATCTACCTTGTGGGCGGAGCGTTGCCGTCTACTCTGTGGGCGGAGTCAACGATATCTCGGTTGCGGTAAGAGATGTCAAAAAATGGTAAACTAGCAAAATGTTTCACATAACATTTTCTACATTTCGTTAGTTGACCATTTTTTGATAGCTCTTGTGAGAAGGGAGATAAGCTCCGCCCACAACAAAAGTCTTTGCAATCTTTCTCGCTTCTCGCGCACTCGCTTTCTTGTTAGCGCTTTTATCTCGGTTCCTGTGAGAGATATCAAAAAAATGGTCAACTAACAAAATGTTTCTTATTGAATTTCCCACATTTTGCCAGAGAACTACTTTTTGATATCTCCTACCGTAACCGAGATAAATCCCTTCAAATGGCCCTATACCTCATCTTTCTTGAAACCGGGTCGTTCCCATTGTGGCTCATGATTATTTCCGTCTTCAGCTCGATAGATTTTACATTTGATCACTTCTTCTTGAGGCATTTTTTGAGGGCTATCGAAAAAATGCTTTGAATTGAAAATCGACTTGTTTCTTTGTTAGGTTTTGATGGGAATATATTGGTTGGATTCTTGAGTGGAGTGCTGGGTGAAAAAAGAGGAAAAAACTGGGTTAGTGGAGTGCGCCAAATTGTTTTGAAAGGAGAAAAAAGCAAGTTTTTGACTTAAAAAACAATCAGGAATGAGAGATTTGGAATTTCAGAATTTCTTTGATTCAAGTTGATTTTTTGGAACTCGGGAATTTTCGCTTTCCGATTTTAATATTACAACTGCCTGAGAAAAAAGTTGAGTTCTTGTTAAATTTTTCTTAAAGGCGCGTTTTTGGGACATTTCTAACAGATAGAAAAATAAAAATAAATAAATAACAACAACAATTTCATTGAAAAAAAGTTAACAGCGACAACAAAACCAACAATGAAATCGAATTCATTCATTTTATAATATGACTCCCAAACCGTTATCATCATATTCCGTCAGCATCGTAGTAGCCGCGGCTTTCAAGATACTCTTGGAAAGCAAGCTCATTAATATATCTATCTGCTTCAGACTCTTCAAAATAGCTTTCCGAATCATATTTATCATAAGCATCCGGATCCATTTTAAGAATCCACTCCTTGAAGTTGTCGTCGTATACAGAATTTCAAATCAAATTCAGATGTGCAGAAACTGGTAATACTTCAATTTTCGCAGCAATTATTATTCGATTTTTTCTCAAAAAGAACAACAATTTTATTTTAAAAAAAGGCCAACAAAAACGCAACTCATGCTCAACAACAACAATGAAATCCATCCATTTGAATATTTTATAAACCGAGTGACCAGCTTTTAGTAATAGTGTGGCTCATGAGCATCATCGCTGTCATACCAAATGTGCCTCCAACTTTCGAACTCTTCGTCATCATCGTCGTAGAAGTCGTCAAAATTGTCGAAAGAGTTTTCCCAAAAATATTTATCATAAGCATCCGGATCCATTTTAAGAAGCCATTCCTTGAAGTTGCCGTCGTATTCAGATTGCTTCATTTTTGCGGAAATCACTATTAGACGGAAGAATTGAATGTAATAACCGGTTGTGACGACGTTATCCAATCCACGCTCCAGAAGAATGTGACGATCCGGATTGTTGGTACGAATTCTGACTCGTTTATCCCTTTTCGATCTGAAATTGTACTTTATTGTCGGAATAAAAAAAGTGAGACTCGGTGTTTGCGTACTTTGATTCCCGCCTCCCCCCACCGACGCTCCGCCCATCGCTTTGCAAGTGCGGCGTGGTGTTTTGGCGCCCCACTTGGAGATCATATTTTCTATGAAAATCTCATTAAATCCGATGATCTCCCAAGTGGCTGATGATATTTTGCTGATGATATTTTGCTGATGATATCAAACTGTATTCTCATGACCCAATCGCCCTTCAAACTGGTATCAACATGGTTGTAAATTGGGCTTCCGCCAACCATCTCCCTCTTGCCCACTCTAAAACTGCCCTTCTTCGCCTAGGTTCCCATAATTCTTCCCATCCTCTCAATATTGCGGGTGTCACACTTACTCCCTCCTCCTCCGTCCGAGACTTGGGACTCATTACTGATTCCTCTCTCAAATTCTCTGCTCACATCAACAAAATCACATCTCTAGCTCTTCTCCGCTCCAAACAACTCTTAAAGTCATTTAGATCTAAGTCTCCAGAATTCTACATTCATCTTTTCAAATGCTATGTTCTCCCGATTCTTGAATATTGTTCTGTAGTTTATTCCCCTCCGCCTTCTTCTCGCCTTGCTCTAAAACTAGAATCCCCCTTAAGATTTTTCTCTAAGTGTATTTTCCAGCGTTGTAATATCCAGTACAGCTCCTATTCTGATCGTCTCTCTATCCTCAATATGTTCTCCATTCGACATCGTAGGCTGAAAGCTCAACTAATTCTTCTCTATAAATTGTTAAATGGCTCCGCCTACTTTCCTAACCTTAATGCACATGTCAAATACTCCTCCTCCCCTCGTCGCCCCATGAACTTAATTATTGTTCAGCCCTACTCCTCTGACTATTTTTCTTCAATTGTTCCCCTGTGGAACGCCATCACTTCCCAAGTTACCCGATTTCTCCTACCTTCCGAGTTTGAATCCTTAATTTCTTCCAGTATTACCCGCTATTGATTTATTTGCTCCCTATTTTTTTTCCTTTTCTCTTCTTATACCGGTTCATTGTTCCTGTGTCAAATACCTTAATTATCCCGTTTCCCCTCCCCTACTCAGATCGGCCTCGTGAGGGGCATTCTTTCTGAGTCTTTCATGTCCTGCCCTCTATTGTTTCATTACCTGGTCAATAAATTAATTCAATTCAATAAAGTGGCGCTAAAACACCACGCCGCACTTGCAAAGCGATGGGCGGAGCGTCGGTGGGGGGAGGCGGGAATCAAAGTACGCAAACACCGAGTGTCACTTTTTTATTCCGACAAGATAAAGGGTTTTTTACAATCAGAGGTTTGAATTACACAATACGATCAGCGAAGTGCTCCAAGAACTCAGCGAACGAGCCATTTTTAGAGACAGAAACTTGGAAAGTGGTTCCGACTTTCGAATTCGTATCGATCCGCATCTAAAAATTTATCGATTTTTCGAGAGAAATTCGAATTAGTTGAGATAAACCTGTGCAACCTTATGAAGGCTCCTTCGTAGTTGATATGCCAGTAGGGAGCATTTTGGACCTGAAATGATAATTTTCATTCTTTCAATTCTTTTTAATCGATTCCAGCGAGTGCTGTCTTACATGTGAGATTGCAAGAAATTTGCCAAAGTCGTCGGAAGTGGTCATAAATGAATTTACCTTAATCGATTCGACGCCGTCCTTCATTTTACGAAGTACAGCAACCACATTGCTATTATCGCGCTGCTCAAATTGGATTGTTTTCGCTGTGAACTATCCATCGTCTGTCATGAATTGCTCATTATCAGTAACTGAACCTCCGAAAGAGATAGTCAGATTCTTGAATACTCCGACTTTCTTGAGGTATTTCATGAGTTCGAGAGCTTCAGTTTTATCTTTTAGGTGCTTCGTGACGTCGTACTTGTTATTTAGATCTAAACCTAAATATCGATTATTTCCCCAGAAGCGACCTTTATTGAATTCGATTTTCTGTGAATCAACGAGCGACCTCTCAGCTTTTGCAGTGCATCTCAAGGATAATCTGAAGAAATAATTGATAATTTAATCGATAATTATTCAATTTTCACCTCTCCTTAAATTCCATTTTTCCAATACACTCCAATTTGACTTCTGCCGGCATATCACTTCAATTCGTGTCGTAAATCGGATCGATCGACAACTTTGCAGTTTTCTCTGTCAGATGTTTGAGTTCGGATGCCATTCTGTAACGAAAAATAGTGAAAAAACACAAAAAGAAAGTCGATGAGAAAAGAAGAGAAATTCAACTGAATCTAGTGTGCGCAAGGATACTGTAGTTAACAGGCACATGCAGTAGTGTGCTGTGTCGATTGTTGACAATCGACAAAAATCGACGAAAATCGCTAAAATCGGTGTCGATTCAGTCGACTCGATCAAAAATCGACATTCAAAAAGTCGACAGAAAATCAGGTAGCACAAGCAGGGAGTTTGCCGAAGGACTTCGCCGTCGCTTCTCAACAAAGGTGAATTTTTATTTGTGTTTTTTCCGAGTTCCCGTTTTAATAAAAAGTTATTTCAGATTGAGATGGTAGCTGAAAAATGGAGAGGAAGGACAGTGAAAGCTCAGACAATGGACTTCTGAAGAGAAAATCGTCTCTCCCGGTAAGAAAATTGTTCCGAAAAAAAAAATGTCCGGTTAATGGTACTATTTTCAGTGTTCATCATCGTCCCGCAAGCTGAACATCGATCGATAAAGATGAGTTTTTCTCCTGAATTTCTATTTTTCCTAAAATTCAAGCATAATTATCGATTTTTTTCAGCCGGGAAAACTTCGAAGCGGAGTCAGCAAGGCAAGAGGAAGGATCGTCAGCTGTCAACTGCCAGGTATTCAAATTGTTCCGTAAATATTTTTGGGGTTAATGGGACGTGTTTCAGGACCTCGATTCCCAGGATTCGGTGGACTTGGATCTTCCGGAGAGGAAACGACAACTTTTCGAAATATTCCATCTTTAAAAAAATTTATTTTTTGAATTTTATTGCAATAAATACTATATTTTTAAACATTTTAATTTATGTAAAAAGTTATAACAATTATGAAAAATTGAAGATTAGAAGAGATTTCGTAGTTGCAGGGGTAATCGAAGTCGTCCAGAAATCTGAAATTCAAATGTGAAACCCTTGGAATTGTAATTTTTACAGAACAATACAAGAGAAAAACTCACAAGAAAATAAACAGCTTGAAATCTTCGGTATCTGCAATGGTCCAGGCTAAAGGTCTAGTGTGAAGGAAGGATGAAGATCTGTAAATTTTGAACTGAACAAAACCTACAAGATGAATTTACGGAACAATACAATAGTAAAACTCACAAAAAAAACAGATTTGGGTGGAAGAGAGAAGAAGATTGCCAAGAAGACTGTAGATGTGGACTGGTACCAAGAGGGCTGTAGATCTGGAATAAAAATGATGATTAATGGAGGAAAAAGAACAATCAAAAAAGGAAAAAAATTGAAAAATGTTATAGTAAGATTTAGAGGGTGGGAATGTTTTTTTGAAATTTGAATTTTTGTTCTGGAATGAGAAAGTTGACCTCATTCCCAAGCTAGGGTCATGGGAAAGTGATCCTCTCGGAACCACTATAAAAGGCTGAAAAACAGTCATTTCACCCTTTTTTACCACAAATATGGTGAAGCAATACTGTTGTCCCAAATGCAACTATGTTTCCGAACGAACATCGAATGTTGTTGCCCACTTGAAAGCGATTCACAAGGCCACAGAGGAGGATATCAAGGAATACAGGGATACTGTAACTAGTAATAGAGCCCAGAACACACTAGTTTCGAAATTTTCAAAAAACACATAAGGGGGACCCTTATGTGATTTTTTTCGACCAAAACTTTTTTTTTTTGAGTTTTTCGATCTTTTTTGATCAGACAGACAAACAATCCGAAATACGAAAAAAATGGAAAAAATTATATTGAGAGCTCAAAATTTGGCTCAAAAATACAGAATTTTAAACACCGGGCCTTCCGGGTCGGGCGAATCGAGGTCCTGAAAGAAGTACCATTGACCCCAAAAATATTTACGGAACAATTTGAATACCTGGCAGTTGACAGCTGACGATCCTTCCTCTTGCCTTGCTGACTCCGCTTCGAAGTTTTCCCGGCTGAAAAAAATCGATAATTATGCTTGAATTTTAGGAAAAATAGAAATTTAGGAGAAAAACTCATCTTTATCGATCGATGTTCAGCTTGCGGGACGATGATGAACACTGAAAATAGTACCATTAACCGGACATTTTTTTTCGGAACAATTTTCTTACCGGGAGAGACGATTTTCTCTTCAGAAATCCATTGTCTGAGCTTTCACTGTCCTTCCTCTCCATTTTTCAGCTACCATCTCGATCTGAAATAACTTTTTATGCGGAGAAAACTCGAAGAAAAAATTCACCTTTGTTGAGAAGCGGCGGCGAAGTCCCTGAGCAAAGTCCTTGTTTGTGCTACCTGAAAATCAACATTTTTTACTTGAAAAAAGTATGAAAAGTGAAAATTATGGCAAAAAGAGACAGATTTGAAGACATTTATCGATAAATTACAGCACTATTACATTATAACACGAATATTTAGAGAGGAGACAAAAGGAAAAAAAGAAAAATCCAATTTTCGAGTGATTTTCGAAACATTTTAGGTGAAAAAATGATCAAAAAAGAAGAAAATTTACTGAAATTTGATTTTTTGAAAGTTTTTGTGTCTTTTGGCAAGAAATTAGCTTGAAAATTGGCTGAAATTGGCTGAAAATAGAGAAAAATTAGCGATGGCCGAGAAAGTGGGAGTTTTCTCGGCCACCCCCCGGTGTAGTCCTCGTGGACAAGCAATTTGGTGTGTCGAAATCCGGCCGCGTCCTTGAAACTACAGTACTTCCGCTTTGCTTGTTTTTCCTCATTGATCTCAACTACTGTTTTCACTCAATTTTCTCTCTCTTTTCGCATATTTCACCCGAATTTTGTTGATTTATCCACAATTTCTCATGGCAACTGACACCGGAAACTCGTTAGAAATGGCTGAAAAGCTGTCGATTGATCCAGTTTTCGACACAAACTGGTGTGATATGCCGGCCTCTGTCAAATTGAAGTGTATCCGAAAAATGGAATTTAAGGAGAGGTAGAAATTAGATAATTATCGATTATTTAATACTGAAATTCTTTCTAGACTGTCGATGAGATGCACCGCAACGGGTGAACGATCGCTCGTCGATTCTCAAAACATTGACTTTCAAGAAGGCGAATTTTGGACAGAATCATACGACGGAGATGTTCAAGTATCGCTCTATTCAAAAAACGGGAATAAGTTTTCGAAAAACTTACGACATTCAAATGGAGCATTCAAGTTTCTGAAATATATTTGGAAAATCGGAGTTTTCGAAAAAGTCATTCTCGAAATACTTTATACACCTTATGAAAGAAAAATAGAGAAATATACTGCAGAAATCTCAGCGAAAAATGTTGACCTAGAGTTCTGTGATGGTCAAGTACTCCCCACTATCCTTCAAAAAATGAGGAATGGCGTCGAATCAATCACAACCCATTATGACTCAATGATTTCATCAAAGTTTGATTTCGATGAAGTTATTGCAAGTCCACATGTAAGAAAATATTTTTTCAGATTCCAAAATATTTCAAATTTTCCCGAAATCACAATTTTTAAGTTCAAAACGTCCCCTACTGGCATATTAAGTACTACGACAAAACGGATAGTCTATAAGGTTGCACAGGTTGGACTGTTCGCAACTCCTGCCCTGGAGCCAAAAATTCGAAAATTTCAGATTTGGATCGATAAAAGCTCAAAAATCGGATCCACTTTCCAAGCGTCAATCAACGAAATCGATGGTTCATTCGACGAGTTCTTGAAGCACTTTGCGGATCGTGTTGTGTAATAAACATCTTTAATTATTTTCAACGAATCTTCAAATTTCAGTTCGAAAAATGAGAAAAGAGTCCGAATTCGTACCAACGACCCAAGCCTTCACATTCTTCTGGAGCGTGCAGTGGATAATGACATCAAAATCAATTATCTTCAATTCTTCCGCCTTACAGTGATTTCTTCGGAAATGAAGGAAGCTGAATACGATGATAGTTGCAAGGAGTGGGTTTGCAAAATGGAACAGGAGGCTTATTTAGAGGAGTGGGAATGCGAGTTTTCTTTCGCACCGTATGCCAATTGAAAATAGTCATAAATCTAGAAATTACGACTTTACAGGAGACCATTAGGACGTCCTTCGTCTTCGGACGAAAGCGACGAAGACTCTTAGCAGTAGAAGCTAATAATTTCGCTGTATTTTGTTGTTGTTTTTTTGCTGTTGACTTTTTATAAAAAAGTGTTGTTGTTGTTATTCGAGTAGAAATTCCAACAAATTCCATATTTTTTTTTCCGAAGAGATTTTTTTTTCAAAAATTCTAGAAGATTACAGAACATTGAACACAGATCCGCATAAAACTGGTCCCATTTTTTTCATTTGCATTTTACAAATAGCAAGAACAGCTAACCACCTATTCGAAATGTTGGAATTCTGAATTCGTCTAATCAATTTAGAATATCAATCTTCCTCCTCGCACGTCCGACCAAAAAAGCAGAAACAATTTGAATTAACAACAACAACTTTATTTTGAAAAAGGTTAACAGAGACAATAAAGACATTGACAATACAACATAATCAACACTGCAATGGAAAAATAATCAGGTTCTCTTAGTGATTATAACATTGCCAAAAATCGGTCTAACTGTAATTTAGAGGTTTTTTTTCCTATCAATCTGACCACTTTTAAATGAGGACAAGTTCAGAAATGCTCTAGTTAAATTAACACAGTTTGAGAAATCCATTTCAATCAAACCTTTACCGATCGGTCCGATCACTTTCGGACCTCTTATGACGCGTTCAAAGTTAATTTCCAGGAGTAACTTCCTGGAAAAACGCTGTCCAAAGCTGGCATTGTTTTCCAGAGGCCTCCGCTTCGAGACCCGCCGTAAATCGACATGAATCAACAGGAAGAACACAG